AAAGCTACAGAGAAACCCTGTCTTGAAAAACAAAAACAAAAAAAAACACCAAACAAACAAAAAAAAACTTCCCTGAGTCAGAGCATAATAAGAAGCTAAGTAGGATGGTGACATTTTGTCTATGATCTAACAAATAAAACTTGTCTGAAAATCAGAGTGCAATGCTATCCACACTAGTTAGCCACAGAGGCCAGGCAGTGATGGCACACACCTTTAATCCCAGCAGCCACACTAGTTACCCATACAGGACAAGCAGTAGTGGTACACACCTTTAATCCCAGCACTTGGGAGACAGAGGCAGACAGATCTCAGTTAGTTCAAGGCCGCCCTGAGCTACACAAAATTGATTCAGTCTAAAAAAGAAACAGAGCTCACACAAAGGTGATTTCAGCACTTGGGATCCCGTGCCTTTAATCAGACCACTAGAGAGGAATACAAGGGGCTCTGTGACCACCATGGCCAGCAGAGTAACAACCAGCAGGCAAGTTGGCTCAGCATGACTAAGTAGCCAGTGTTGGGGAAAATAAGGGAGTCTGAACCTAAATAGATTAGTGTTTTTAGGCATGTTTTAAGGCATATTTTAGCACAGCACAATTTGGTAAAATCTTTCCTGGTGATAATTAACTTAATCCTGTGTATACAATGAAGCAGAAATAAATCTCCTTGAGGAACAAAGTAAGCTAGATAAAGATAGAACATAACTAATCAAAACTCTTTGTAAAGTATATGTGGCACCTCCCACAAAGATGGGTTCTTTAGATGACTGAGAAAGACAAGCTCATGGTTAAGTGTTCGGCTAGAACCTCCAGCTCACTCCTGCTTGATACAGAAAGTCCCATTCCTGTCTCTCCAAACCCCACCCTCTCAGAGAATCTTTGAACAAAGGGAAGGCACCAAAAAGCCCAGTTTGGCATTCTTGGTGGCTAAGGTAGCAACCCCTGAAATTGCCAGTAGCCCAAGTCCCTGCCTAACTATTTCAACTTTTGACCATACTTGGTCACAAACCCAGCTTGTGACACACACGTCATCACCCCTTGCCTACAGACTATATAAGTTCCCTGCTTTAGTTCAGCATGAGACCTTTCCTGGTTTGACCTTTGGTGTTGGAGAACTAACTCATCCAGGAAGTTCTTAGCTCAAATAAACAAGTTCTTTCACTTTTTCAATTCAACTTGATCTGGCTTACTGCTTCAGTGGAGAAACCTATTATTGGGGTACAGAAAACCTTTTAGTAGCCGGGCGTTGGTGGCGCACGCCTTTAATCCCAGCACTCGGGAGGCAGAGGCAGGCGGATCTCTGTGAGTTCGAGGCCAGGCTGGACCGACAGCCTCCAAAACAGAGAAACTCTGTCTCGTAAAACCAAAAAAAAAAAGAAAGAAAACCTTTTAGTAAGGGTCTGTGGGAGGGTGCACTGTGGTATCAGACCACACGGAGGACACACAGGTTACCAGGCAATAACCATATCGGTACCCAGCCTTCTGGCAATAACAGGTTATGCATTCCTTCCTTTGAAGGAACACCCTGGTGTGTTTAACAGTTCATATTCCCCCAGTGCTCACCCTGTGAGCACAAAGACTTCCATGTCTCCTACCATACTCATTTTTTTAGGTGACTCTAGTATTAGATTATATGAGTAATATCATTTAACCAGTTTTCTCTTGATGAGTAATCCATGAGTTCTGAGGTTAGAACTCAGATCCTCTGACTTTCAAGGCAAGTATTTTACTGACTGACCCATCTTCTTAACAAAATTAAATCATTTTCCTAATTTCATTTAGTATTATACATTGCTTGATTACAGAAGTATAATTGATTTTTCCACAGATCTTATATCTTGGAATCTTGAATTTGTTGTCTCTAGTTTTCATGCTGGTGTTCATAAATTTTGCAAAAGAGCTCCTGTTTTCCCTCTCTGCTGCCCTCCCCCTCTTTCTTCTTTGTTGTGTTGAGAGGCCTAGGTGTGTAACCCATACTGGCCTGGAACTTGCTGTGTTATGTAGTTTATGCTGGCCTTGAGCTGACAATCATTCTACCTCAGACTTAAATTACAGCATGCACCACCATACCCAGTCAGTCTTTAGGATTTTTCTACATGTAAGACAAATGTAAACAGTTTCCTCTAGATTAATTGGCCTGGCCAAATCTCCAATACTGTTGCATGCATATAGTAAAAGCAGATGATACCCTTGTCTTACCTCTCCCTGATCTTAGGGGAAAAATGTTTTTTAAATACGAGGTTACTGAGAATTTTCTTTATGCCCTTGTCAAGGTGAGCGTCTTAGTTAGGGTTGCTATTGCTGTGAAGAGACACCATGACCACGGCAACTCTTATAAAAAAAAAATTAATTGAGGGGGCTTGCTTACAGTTTCAGAGATTCAGTCCATTATCATCATGTGGAGAGCATGGTAGTGTGCTGGCAGACATGGTACTGGAAGAATAGTTGAGCGCCCTACATCTTGCAAGCAATAGTAAGTTAACTAACAGTCACACTGAGGGAAACTGAGCAAAAGAGACCTCAAAGCGTGCTTCCACAGCGACACACTTCCTCCAACAAGGCCACACCTCCTAATAGTGCCACTCCCTTTGGGGGGCATTTTCTTTCAAACCACCACAGTGAGGATGCCTTTTCTGTTCCTAGTTTAATATTTCTGTAATAGATTAAATAATATCTTATAATATTTATAATATAAAATTTTATTTTAGAATATATTTTGTAATATAAATAACATATAATGATAATATTTTATAATAGTAAAAATATTGAGAACTGAAGATGTAAATCAGTTGGTAGAATATTTGTGTAGCAAGCATGGGGCCCATGTTCAATCCCCAACTCATGAAAAAAGGCATGAGGGTGAGGTGGTGCAGGTCGCAAGTTCAAGGCTTCAAGGAAGGCCCTGTCCTGCCTTTGGTGTGTCTAACCCAGTCTTAGCAAACGTCCTTCTAACCCTTAGCAAGAATCTTCCTGGCCTTCCTATGCCCTCTTAACGTCTCCATCTGTTGACTTTGGTTTTGGTCACAAATGCCTAGCTAGCTTTGCTGACGTCTCAGGTGGATCTGGCTTCACTCTTTTGTTGCAATGCCCCATTGTACCAATCTTAACAAAAGTCTTCTTTTCTGTTCCTTAAATATCAGAATGATCTTCCTTTAGCAATGCCCTCACACAGTTCTTTTTTATATTTTTCATACTTGAGTAGTAGAGAGTGGGAGAGTGAGCCGGAAGTGGGTTGCTACGTTGTGACAGGGCGAGACAGTGCAGAGGTTCCTCCATCTTGTTTTCTTGCTGAGGCCATTCCAGCTTTAATTAGAATTTGATCTCCTTGATGGAGAATCCCATGGAAGATTACCAATCTCTATTCTAGGAAACAAAGGTCAGTATGTCCTAGATAACTTAGCTTCTGTTAAATTGCCTGATTGTGCAGAACCCCCTCCAGCTAACTACTTATCTTGTGTAAAATTGCTTGCTTACCTTACCTTACCCCCAAGCCCTCTGCTTAGCAAGAAGCCAGTAAGTGGTTTTTGCCTTCAAAACTTCAAGGACCCTGTGTTCTGGATACTAGGGACCACACCTAGATCCATGAACAATGGGTGTAGTCCTAGCCAGCTGGAATCAAGATTTTTAATTGGCTATAAACTGTATCTGAGTGGTTATCTCCATTGTGCTACCCATAACAGCATTACTGCCGAACCCATGCCTGCTTATTTCTGTAACAAGAATGCATTGTTCTGAAACTTTTACAATTACAATGAAAAACAGTAATGGAGCTGGGTGTTGGTGGCCCATACCTTGAATATCAGCACTCGGGAGGCAGAGGCAGGTGTATCTCTGTGAGCTCATGGCCAGCCTGGTCTACAAAGCTACACAGAGAAACCCTGTCCTAAAAAATCCAAATAAATAAATAAATAAGGCTGAGTGTGATGATGTGCTGGTGACATTGTCCTAAACAGAAAGATTTGGGGTAAACAGAGGGTTGCTGTTGGGTAAACACGCCAAAAAGGTTTCCAGTAACTAGAGAAGCACATCTCTAAAGGCAGGCTTGGTGGCAAGTGCGACTCTTCCTAAGGTCCTACAATAGATCATTGAACTGTACACAATCACCAGACTATTTCAAAATTAACAAGAGCTTTTTCAGATTATTTTTAATCTCCATAAAAAGATTAAAATAAGGAAATTTAAAAAAGGTTGTTGTGGTATCTTGCTTTCAAAGAACCCTCTTGAATCTTTTCCGATCCCACTACAGAATTCAAGTTTAGAACTCTTGGATTACTTGACATTTGAAAGCCGGGAAGTTTTATTCCAACTATCCTCACCCGGTAAAGAATAATTTCTGGGTCCATTTTACCTTCTGCCTCTAACAACTGATTTATCTTGGGCTCTACTTATTTCTTCAGGGTTCAAGAAAGGCTCCCGCATAATGTCAACCTCATAGAAACACAGCCTGAATGAGAAACACACAGCTGTCAGTGCTTTCCTCCTTTGTTTTCAAGGGAGAGGAGTTGAGACAGGGTTGGGCTCCCTCTTCCAAACTGAAGGCCTAGGAGAGGGTGGAGCAGGAGGAGTCTCAACCACCGAGATGGAAATGGAGGAGGATCTCGCTCAGCTCTCGGGGCATAGCGGAGCCTGGACAGACGGAGGGATAAGGCACCTGAAGACCTGGGGAGAGGCCAGTGGGGTGCCTAGCCTCTCTCAGCTCTGCTAGTGGGGTGTCCATGGGTGGTGCAGCCATCGGGGAGGAGTCAGGGCGTCTCCCTTCCACAAACTCCCTTGCCATGCCCTCGAGGTCTCCCCACTTCCAGCTCCTCCACCAAGAGGGCTGGGGGCCGCGTCGCAGCAAGAGGAAGAGTCAGGGTGAACCCCGCCGGAACGAGGGGAGCCCGTGGAGAAGAGCGATGGGCGGTGGCCCGCGAGCCCTCGGCCGCGCGCCTCCCCGCCTCAGCAACGCCGCCCTGCGGGAAGGCGGAGGCGCGCGGCCGGAAGCGCCTTTCCCGGAAGGTAGGGGGGCGGTGCCGGCCTCGGGGCGGCTTGACGATGGCGGCTGCGCGCCGCCCGCTCACACAGTGAACCGAGCCGCGCAGCGGGAGGATGGCCTCGCTCGGGTCTGCCGCGGCAGGGGAGCCGGCGGCCGGAGCTGAGGCGGAGCTCGGTCCTCCGGCCCCTCCGCCGCCGCCCCCGCCGCCGCCGCCGCCTGCGCCCTCGCCGTCCGCTCTCGGGCCGCTGCTGCCCCTGCAGCGGGAGCCGCTGTACAACTGGCAGGCCACCAAGGCGTCGCTGAAGGAGCGCTTCGCCTTCCTCTTCAACTCGGAGCTGCTGAGCGATGTGCGTTTCGTGCTCGGCAAGGGCCGCGGCGCCGCCGCCGCCGGGGGCCCGCAGCGCATCCCCGCCCACCGCTTCGTCCTGGCGGCCGGCAGCGCGGTCTTCGACGCCATGTTCAACGGCGGCATGGCCACGACGTCGGCCGAGATCGAGCTGCCGGACGTGGAGCCCGCCGCCTTCCTGGCGCTGCTGAGGTGAGCGGGGGGCGCGCGGGGCCGGTGGCCGGCGGCCCGGAGGGAGGCGGCACCCCGGCCGGGCCTGCGCCGACTCCCGGGTGACCTTGGGCCAGGCGCGCCGGCCTGCCTCGGTTCCTCCCCGGCCGGAGATGCTCGGCAGGTCGGCCAGTCGTTACGGTGAAAGCCGGTGTCGCCATGCCAGCGCTGTCACAGTCCAGTGCGGGAATTGTCGCCCGGGCTTCAGAGGCAAATGGGCCCAGTAGAGGACGAGCGAGGCAGGCTGCCCTGATTGCCCACTTGCAGGATTTGTTTTGTTTTTGTCTGAAGGACGGGGCGGGGGATCTTGGAGAGCTGGTGTTTTCAGGTTCTTAGCGATCGTTGTCAAGATCCCGGAAAGTAGTTGCCGTAACAGGTACTAGCTGACCTGCTTCGTGTCTCTGCAAACGAGGTGACATTTACTGTATCCTAACACCCCCCCCCCCCGCTACTGGTGATAAGAGTTTGGTTTCTGATGATTTGGGGGCAGGAGATTGACAGCTGATTAGTGGCGTTATTAGTTTTTAATCACAGCAGTCCCGTTAGGGAAGTATATCGTGGTGTTTACCCCATTTTCACAAATGGGAGTGAGGCCCAGAAAAGCGGCTCGCACAAGGTAACTGAGCCAGCTCCCAGAGGACCATGTGTGTTTCATTATACTAAGATGGTTTTGGCTCCTGAGTGGTGTGTTTTTAAGATAGCGGAGTCTTGAGTAATTCTGACGTAAACAGGCAGATGAGCGGAACAGAAGAGCCCACAAAGGCTCCCAGCTTCATCAAGAAGATGCATACTGAGTGAAATATGAAGCAACTAGAAATAAACGTTACAGTCCCATTAATGAATGGATAAAGGACAAGATAAATAGGAAATAGAAAGTACAACTCAAGAATGTTTAACCTCACCAGTAAATGAGGAAGTGCAAATTAAAATAGAAAAGTGCTTTCTGCTTTTCATTAGCCTTGCCATTTTGTTTGTTTGTTTGTTTTGGATTTGGAGTTGATTTTCTGGGACAGGGTTCTTTTATGTAGGCTTGGCTGACTTGGCGCTCAATATGTATGCCAAGTTGGCTTCCAACTCGTAAAGATCCGACTACTTTAAGCCCCCTGAGTGCTGGCCCACCAAAAACTTAAAAGATGACCATAGGAACACTTTCTGACAAAGCCTAGATTTTTTCCACACTTAGGAAAAATATCTGCAATAGCATTCTTCATAATAATGTGGAAAGAAGTCAAGCCGAGGGAATAAATAGTTAATAAAGAGTGGTAGGTCCACTTGATGTTTATGAAAACCAGGTAGTACTATGGAGAATGTTGATATCAGCATCTTCAGTTTGACCACCATAGTTAACAACTGAAAAGGAATGGAACAAACGTTATGTACCTGGAGATAGGACAGAAGGAAAACCAATATACCAAGCAAGATGCGTTGAATTGGAAAGCTGATAGTGCCATTTTCTCTTTTTGTTCTTATATTCTAGCATTTAATTCACTTTCATTTTGGGGATAGGAGTGCAACCTCAAGGCTAGGATCTGAGACATTTGGATTTTGAAATTGACAAGAAGGACTATATAGCAGTTTAGAAGACTTAGTTAAAAGGATAGGGCCAGAGAGGTGGTACAATGAAGCCCTGAGTTAGCTACCTGTGGCCCACATGAAGAAAGGAGAGAGCTTAGGCCTGCATGCTTCCTCCGGCCTCCTTAGATGTGTGAGCCACTGCGAACCTCCGCATCCGGGAAAGAAGACACACAGCAGAATGATGCTTTGGGTCAAGTGCACCATGACACACTGCGATGTTAAGTTTACAGATCTCTCCTTTTGGCAGTGTGTTTAGAGGTGAAACCTTAAGCAGTTTAATATTTTTCTTAAGTGATATTTACACTGGCTAAATTTGAGAACTGTTGATCCATTACTATTAGGACTAGGATAAAATTAAAGAGGGGGTATTTCATACTTTTGTTTCTAATTTGTAGTTTCGGTGAATGTGTTTTAATAGGGAATAGTTAATTTTGGATTCCTTGACATATACAGTGCCATTTGAGTTCTCATTTTTTGTTTCTAGTAAATTACATATTTTCATGACACTTAGGTTCTGGTCATTTTTCTATTCTGAAATGAATATCTAGGTTAATTTTTATTATTTAGGTATCAATTAGCGTTGACACATTGCTATCATACACAATATTGGGTGACAAAAAGTCTGGGGGAGCTTGCTGAACTGGAGAGTAAGCCAAGGTATATTGTTATTGTTTGTTGTTGGTGGTTGGTTTTGTTTTGTTTTGTTTTGTTCTTATTTTTTGAGACAGTGTGCCTTGGAACTTGCTCTGGCCTCAAAGATCCTCCTGCCTCTGCCTCCAGAGTGCTGGGATTATAAACACGTGCTCCTCCACGACTCTGCTTTATTTTTACTATTTTTACAACCTAAATTAACTAACATTACTTACAGGCTTATTAATTCAGGTTTTAAACTCTGCTCACTTAAAGCCCTCTCACTTATAAATGATGTTCTTGTTCGTTTGACAAATATTGAGACTTCCTGTGCAACTTATTTTTTTGGTGTGGGTTACAGCAGTCCATCTCTCATGAAGTCAGTAATTACAAAAGGAAAAACTAGGACAAGCCATAAATAAGAGAAGGAACATTCAAAGGGGAAGGGGGATGTTTTAGATCTTAATTTTCTCCTGTTAGAGAAACTACAAGAGTAAACTAGTATCTTTTAAGATGGGAGATGTGGGGGAGGAGAACAAGATGGTAGTGGTGAAAAGACCAGATAGGGTTTTGACAGCTGAGGAAGGACTGTTGGGTTCTCACCTGGGGTATGAGAAAGCTGCACAGGGGTTCTTCCCTTGGAGTGCTGTCATCCTGCTGTCATCTGAAAGACCTAACTGGCTGGGGTGTTACATGGGAAACAGGTAGATAAATGCAGAGGTTTTGCTGTATCCTACTTAGATAAGAGATGATGGTGGACTGCCAGGGAGGGAGTGGATCTGATGAGAATGGTCACATTCTGGTTGTTTGGAGGGTAGAATCAGAGAAAGGTAAGTTAAATGATATAACTGAATGAAAATGTACTTGGGAAAGAAGTGGATTGAGAAGAGAAGTACAAGGATGAACCCGGAGATCTTGCAGCTCATAGAGGTGTAGGAGGGAAAGGGAGCAAGAACTATGACAGGCAGCTGTCGATGAGGTGAGGCAGGAGGCAGGAGCCCACCGGAGTGTCAAAGAAAACGAGAGTGGAAACATTTCCAGCTATGGAAAGTGGTCAGCTATGTTAAATAGTACTGAGGGTTGGGTGAAGTGAAAATGATGGTGTGATAAATGACGAAATGAAATCATGATGCTGTGATAAGATGTAAGCTATTGATAACTCTGGGGAGGGGGTAAACAAAACAATAAGCTCTTCATTGATTCCTTGGGGAAGAGACTTGTGGCCTTGATTTCAAGTTGTAGTTTTGGTATTCCTCTTTTTTCCTCATTTTTGGACCCTGCCAGAGTGTTTGCTCTCTCCTTGCATTTCTTTAACCAAACTACTGTCTTTAGACATTTCTCACTCTAGCACTCATGTCACCATGTGATTTCTCGGAATCATTTAGGTATTTTTGTCTGTTGGATAAAGTTTAATACTTTACAGGTATTAAAGACCTTTGTGATGTGTCCCCACCTAATTGCTGGTGGCATTCTCCAAGGCCTTTTCTAACTGTTTGGCCTCTACCTAAAAGACAGTAGTCATTATACTTCAGGTAATAATTTTAGGCTTTACTTTTTTGATTAAATCACTGTTTCCTTCCCCTACGGGCAGGTTTGTACACTAATTCATTTAATCTCTCGGCATGTTTTGGTTACATGTTACCCTAGTACAAACCACTCCAACACCTGGTGGTTTAAAACAGCCATTTCATTATCTTCAGAGCTGTGTGGGTTGATGACCTAGATGATTGTTTGGCATATCTTTAAGGTTTAATGAATTGATTTCAGATAGCATCTAAGGCTGTGGTCATATGGAGGATTTTTCAAATAGTCTGAGACCCTTCATTTCCATGTGCTTTTTTTGGGGGGGGGATCTTGAGACAGAGTTTCTCTGTATTGTTTTGGAGGCTGTCCTGGGACTCACAGAGATGCACCTGCCTCTGCCTCCCGAGTGAGGGGATTAAAGGCATGTGCCACCAAAGCCCGGCTTTCCATGTGCTATTTCATGTGTCATTTCAGCAAGCTTGATTTCTTGGACAGAAGTGGGAGCTGCCAGGTATTCTTAGAGTGTAGGCTCCAAACTGGCATATTTTGTTGGTGAATAGTGAATGGGAATCATGTCAACCAGCAAAGATAAATGTAACAGCTTTAATGTTAGAAGGCATGATTTAATGTGGGCGCCTTAAATGATTAGTTATTGTATATTAGTGCCTGACATTCTTTTTTTTTTTTTCTCCCTGAGATGGTTGCTCCCTGTAGCCTTCGCTGACCTGGATTGCTCCTTGTAGTTCAGGCTGGCCCCAACCTCATCTTCCTGCTTCTACTTCCCGAGTGCTGGGACTAAAAGTGTGTGCCACCAATGCCCAGCTTTTTTGGGGGGCGGTGGGTGAGTTATTTTTTAAACATTTCATTATCAAATTATAAACTTACTACACTACACACAAAGCTATCTTACTCCTTTAGTAGCTGTTGTCACAATCCCTCAAAGTTCCTCAGGTGTGATCTTGTAACATACATTTCCTGTCCTAATATAAAATCAAGCTTTCGCTCTATCCTTTCAAGAATATTTTAATTCAGGGCTGGGGGAACAACTTAAATAGTAAAGCGCTGGTCTTGTAAACAGGAGGACCTAAACTGGTTCCCAGAACCCTGCATCAAACTGCCAGGCATGGCAGGCATGTACTTGCAGTCCCAGGGCTGGGCAGGCTAAGTCAGGAGGACCCTGGGGCTCCCTGGCTTGTCTGGCCTGATCAGTGAGCTCAGGCACTGAGAGACCCTGCCTTCGGAGAAACTGAAAGGTGTTCTAGAAGTTGAACTCCCCAAACACCTGATACACATGCATAAAATTATTTTAGTTAGCCAGGTGTGGTGACACACATGTCATCCCACCACTTGGGAGGTGGAAGTTTGAGGATCAGAAAGTTAAGACCTGAGACTTGGCTACATACATATCTAAAAAAATTTGTTTTGACTTTCAAGACTGGGTTTATCTGTGTAGTCCTGGCTGTCCTGGAAATAGCTCTGTAGACCAGGCTGTCTTCAAACTCACCGAGATCTGCCTGCCTCTGCCTCATGTGCTGGGATTAAAGGTGTGAGTCACCACTACCTGGATCAAATTTTAAATATATATATATATATATATATATATATATATATATATATATATATATATAAATAAAATATAGCCTTGGATTTTTACCTTTTTGGAGACTATCTTTGGGGTGGGGATAAGAAAACAAACATACTTTGACACAATAATTTCTCTATTCTTTGCTCTTGTCCTTAAAGGTTGTATCTGGGAGCTTCAGCTGTCACTTTAAAATACAAAGAATTGGGCCTATATCATGGTGCTTGTTGTGCAGGGTTGACAGTTGGAATTGAGCATGTATAGGTTAAAGGAGAGAGCCAATTCCACAAAGTTTTATTTTTACCTTTGCATTCTTGCCGTGGCTTGCATACCCACACATACATCATGCATGCTCACTAATAATTAAATGAGAGAATTATGATAATGTCATGTTTAAGTTTTAGTTATAACGATTCTACCGATTGGGGGCTAGAGAGATAGTTTAGTGGTGAAGAGTACTTACTGATCTGGTAGACACCAGGATTTGGCTCCCAGAACCCACATGACAGCTCACAACTGCCTGTAACTCCACTACCTGGGAATCTGAAACTCTTCTGGCCTTTGCAGGCTCTAGCTTCAAGTGGTACACAAACTCAGCCTCATGCACATAATTTTATTAGTGAAACTTTAAAGAAAAATTCTGCTGATTAAATATATTTCAGAGACCATATAAATGAAATATGAGCAAGAGGATTCTTGGGTTTTTAGTAACTTTTCTTTTAGAAATGAAAATACCACCCTACCCCCCATGTCAATGTTGCACAGAAACTTTGGCCTAGTCTGTTAATGTATTTTCATTAAAGTGTGCCACACAATGTCAGATACTATAGGGGGAAAATTCCCTTATTGTTTACAAGCCAGTATTTACTTTAACTTGCATTCTCAAAATAATTTAAAGCATGGTACAAGAAATCCAAGGATAAAACTAAAATAGCACTAAGTAAGACTAATACAAAAAAAGTATGTTGTGATCAAGCCACAGCTTCCATTTGTAATTGTCTTAGCAACAAATGTAAAAAAGGAAACATGTTTGAGCAGTAATAATAATTCATGGTGTTTTTAAACTTAAAAACAAACTTCTTATGGGTCTGTAACTCTAGTACTGAGAGCAATAATGAAGTGCCCTTATAAAGAGGCTATTATTATAATGAGCAATGTCTGCAAGCTATGGCTTTAGATACAGATGATTATTTAATATAGTAATGATTGTGTTCCTTGATATAAGCTAAAGCTTATTACTAAAATGGAATTTAATAAAAACAATTTGAATGTGAAGGATCGCATGTAGAATAATCTAAACTACAATCCTTTTTTGTGCCTAATATATTCACAAGTATTTCATGCCTGCCTAAATTGGAGCCTCCAACATAGATTGATACAGAACCATATACATCAGCCTTGTGTTGTCGTCTCCCATCTCTCTCCTGATTAAAATGATAAGAAATGTGAAAGACAATATGCCTGTTACATACTGAACAGAGAGAGAAAGGATTGGCCAAGGTGTAGAAAACAGAACAGGAGCTGTTGTGGTAGAACCCCAGCTAGGAGTTGGTAGTAAAGATGGTGGAAAGTGTAGTGCTAAGATACAGACATTTATTTAAAGCCTCCTTACAGACCGTTCTTCAACCAATTACTTACAGCAACCGAAGGTTCCTCTGTATTTGACCAAACTGCCTGGCAACAACAAATAGAATTGTTGGTATGATTTTGGAACCTCTGGGTAAAGCTCTCATAATGGTATGAGGGGTCCTGGCTTCCCACTGTAAGGTGACAAGATTCTGGTCAACAGCTTCCACATACTGGGAACTTCTACCCCAGTCTTTGCATTTGCAAGATGTTTTTATCTGCAAACAGAACAGTTGCTAACTACTGAACTTAGAGATATTGGTCCCTTGACACACATAGAAAACCAGAGCGTGAATGACGAGACAAAGACAAACAGCACATGAAATTTCAAGTAAACATGGACGTGAGGGAAAAGAAGAAAACCTAATCCGTTCTATTAAGTGTTTTAGAAACTTACGGATGTTTTTATATCCAGAAAAAAAGGACAAAAAAGAGTTGTGGAGGAAAGACAAACAAATAATCAGGAACAAAGCAGGAGTTTTTAGAAATTAGAACCTCATTGGGGGAGGGATAGGGCTAGAAAAAAGGGAAAAGAAATATTCCAGAATACAGAGGAAAAGCTATCATTTACTTGGATTAATTTTTGTTGGGCTCCATGAAAGTGCTTTATTTTAGCTTGTGTTCATTCTCTCTACAGCATTACAAATAGGTACTGCTATTGTCATCTCTTTGGAGAGTCACTAAAAATTTGCTTACAGCCACATACCAAGTAAATGATAGCACTGTCTGAAACCCACAGTTTATCTTTCCTTCCCTCACATGTATTATTGATAGAGATTTGGTTGATTTTGTGGATGTGCAACCTGTGGATATAGGCCAACTGGATTACTACATTATTTTATTCCTCTAAAGCCCCAGCACCCTAATCTGTGGTCATTGTGATAATTCTGTAATGGTTGTGAAAGTTTTTAAAGAAAAAGAATGTTCTACTGTCAAGAAATCAGTGATTTAACATTTGGAAATTCAACCTCAGCTAACTGTAGGTTTACTCAAATGGGTATCTTTTGCTGAGGGAGACATTAGTGAACTACTGTTCTTGTAAGCACCTGAAAGTCCTAAAAAGAGCCCAAAGTTTCACTTATGGGACATGTGTGTGTTTGTCTCCTGAGCACTACTTAACATCCTCTGAGAATGGAAATACTTTATACCTCATGAATAAGAATACAGTGTCTGTACAGGTTTGTCTTACCCTGATATAAATTTCAGGTTTTCTTCTTTTGTTTGTTTGCTCATTAAAGTTTAATTCTGATGGATTGCTTGTCAAAAACAATGCTGATCATCTATTTACATTTTTTTCATTGCTTTTCAGATTTTTGTATTCAGATGAAGTTCAAATTGGACCAGAAACAGTTATGACCACTCTTTATACTGCTAAGAAATATGCAGTCCCTGCCCTGGAAGCACACTGTGTAGAATTCCTTACCAAACATCTTAGGGCGGATAATGCCTTTATGTTGCTTACTCAGGTAAGTAAATATAGCTAAAAATAGTTTAAAAACTGAATTTAAGCTTCAGTTCCCAGCACTTGGCGTAAGTATTACAGCTTAGATGGAAAGGTATCCTGGCAGTCAGGAGCCAAGGAATACCAAAAAGTTGCACTGCACAACAAACCTTCTAAGAGATTTATTGGGAAGGAATGACCCAGGAGAGTTGCTGCCTCTGCTTGGGTGAGACAAAGCAGAAAACTGGGCAGAACACAAGGTTTCTATAGGGTAGGGGGAGCGCGGCTTTCCAGGGTAGCCTGGGATTGGAGGGATTATGTAGCCTGATCTTGGAGCAGGATTGGTTGTGCACCGCTGCCCCCGCTGTAGGGTGGATCCTGGGAATGGACAGCTAGGGCCCTTAGGGAAGTTTGGCAGGGTGAGACCTGGCCTGTGGAGCTCCTCAGGAGTCAGGCCAAACCTCAGTGGATGCCAACTGCTAGAGGTCTCCAGGGGGGAGGGGCTTACAAGGACTCTGCCTGTCTTTGAGTATGAGGCCAGCCTCATTGGTCTGCAGAGTAAGTTCCAGGACAGCCAGGGATACACAAAAAACCCTGTTCCAAAACAACAACAATAAAAATGGAACATAAACATAATTATAAATATTAATATTTCCTAGACAATTCTAGGTTATTTTAAAATATGTAGTTTTTGTATAGGGAAGATATGTATTTATAAGATTTTTAGAATAGAAATGTAAATTAATATGCTAAATGATAGGAAAAGTAACTGAAGCCTTACATAAGTGGGGTTATATGATACTAGATTAGATAGCTATTTAGGATTTGAGATGTCATTAAAATACATTATTCTTGCTATGATTGAGTATAATACAAAGAAATTTTCTGGACAACTTCATTTTCAATTTTTGCTGGATCTGAAATAAAAATTGAGTATTTACTATCAGAGAGGTTCTAAGATTGGCTATCTTTTATTTCTGTGCCTATGCCTGGAAGCTTCCTGACCCATTATTGGAGCAGTTATTGATATTAGGTTTATATGAAATACTTTTTGTACCACATGAAGTACACTCCATAGAGAAAAGTACACATATTATAAGTGGGCAGCTTGGTAATACTTTTATGAGCTATTTTTTAAAATTATGAATTGATAAAATTATGAATTGATAAAATAAAATCCTATGGGCCAGTCAGTGGTAGTGCACGCCTTGCATGCCTTTAATCCCAGCACTCGGGAGGCAGAGGCAGGCAGATCTCAGTGAGTTTGAGGCCAGCCTGGTCTGCAAATCGAGTTTCAGGACAGCTAGGACTGTTTTACAAAGAAATACTGTCTTGAAAAACAGATAGATAAAATCCTGCCTGACACAATGGCACATGCCTGTAGTTACAACACTTAGGAAGCTGAAACAGGAGGATTACTTTGAGTTCAGAAGTTTGAGACTAACCTGGACAACATATTGCAACTGTGTGAAACAATATATATTCCTGTTGAATTTTAGTACTAGAAATAATTACTGATGATTATTAGGTCAATTCTCATTTTATAAATAAGGATTAAAATTTGGACAAATTAACTGCTTGTCTAAAACCTCACAGTAAGTAATGCTGGGCCAGAGCTCATCTTCATAGTTTATTCTATAGGAAACATTGGGTACGCTAAAAACAGGCTTTCTATTAAATATTTGTACTTGAAGAAGGAATTTGCTGATGTTACTCTTGACATAGTTTCAGAAATCCACATATGCCAGAGATGAAAATAATAATAACAACAGAATGTATTGGATAAGGACTGTTGAGTCAGATAGCTTTTTTACTATTTTATATGTGTCAATTTAATCATTATAGATAGGTAATCTGAATATAGGGTACATTGAGGATATGTATGTGCATACACTGTCCTATAAACATTCTATAAATTTGAAATTCCAAATTTCCCCATAAAATTTATTCATTTGCATCTGAATTACTGAATCTGTGTTGGAGAAATGTTGTAAAATCAAGAGGACATGCATTCAGTTCCCTAACTTTTACATAAGAGCTGTGACAGACTGTGCGTCTGTAACACCAGCACTGATGAGTAGACTCATGGCCAGCCAGCCTAGCTGAACTGTTGAACTTCGGGTTCGGTGAGAGACTCTGTTCTAAGAAGTAACATGCAGAGTGATAGAGGAAAGCATTCGACTTCATCCCCTGGCCTGTGTGCGTGTGAGTGGGCATATATCCACACGATGTGCTTATATATATATACTATATACATGCACACACACAGAAATCAATTATTGAATCCTTTAAAATTAATTTTACTGGGGCTAAAGAGATGGCTCGGCAGTTAATGAGCATTAGCTGCTCTCATAGAGGATCTAGGTTCAGTTTCTAGCACCAATGGTGTCTTTAACCTTTTGTAACTCCAGTTCTAGGGGATCCAGTGCTCTTTGGTCTATTCAGTCACCAAGCATGCACACACACATACACAGTACACATGCATACATGCATGCAAGACACTCAATACAAATAAAATAAGAATACATTGATACCCAGTCAACAGTCCATAACCCCAGAGAAGCTTGAACCCTCTTCCAAAAACAGATGGAAGCAGATGCAGAAATCCACAATTAACCAATGGGCCAAGCTCCTGGAGTATAATCCAAGTGAGGGAGGAGCAATAATATGAACAAAGGAGTCAAGACCATGATGGGAAAACCCACAGACTCAGCTGACATTGAGCTAGTGAGAGATCACTGACTCAAGTCTGACAAATGGGGAACCTACATGAGACTGAACTAGACTCCCTTAATATAGGTGACAGTGTATGATTGGGACAATCTATGGGGCCACTGGCAGTGGGTCCAAGATCTAACACTAATGCACAAGCTGACTTAATGGAGCCCATACTGTATGAAGAGATACCTTGCCCAGCCTAGACACAGGGTTGTTGCGGGGTGGAGAGGTGCCTTGGTCCTGCCTCAACAAGATGATGGGACAGACTTAGTAGACCTAGGGGAGGCCTTACCCTCTCCAAGGAGCATATGGGAGAAGAGGGAGGGGGAACTAGGATTGGAATGTAAAAAATAAATTAATAAAAATTTTTTTAATTAAGTGAAAACTTTGTTGTCATGTTAGGTTATTGGTGTCAATTTCTGATGTGGTTAATTAGGTGCCCGGAGCTATGGTGCTCTAAAATCCTTATACCACTCTTAAAAGATTCTTATACCTTAGCAGGAAATGTTAAGAATAACAACAAAACTGTGATCTATTTTTATTCTTGACAGTTGATGTCCTAGTTACTGGTGATGGTAAGGCTAAAATTTTAAATACTAATCTGCAACATATCTAACTACATAACCTTAGACAAATAAATGGACATTACTGCATCTGGTTGGTATGCATTTTACCTAATCTAGAGAGTTCATTCAGGGTCAGACTAATGCCTAAGAAATTTGGCTGTAATATATATGCATATGAAAGTAAAAGCAAGATTGTTGATAATGTGAATCCATTGCTCAGTGAAACATTAGTGTTCTTTAGCCTTCCATTTCTCATTGCCAGTATTTTTACGTAATTAGCAATTGCAATTGTCTACAGTGTCAACTTTGGATGCACAGCCCATAGAGTTAAAGTAACTGAAAGTAAGATGACTTTCTTTGTATGTGTAGGCGCGGTTATTTGATGAACCTCAGCTGGCTAGTCTTTGTCTAGACACGATAGACAAAAGCACAATGGATGCAATAAGTGCAGAAGGGTTTACTGATATTGACATAGGTAAGTTCCCAGTGAACAAAATGTTTACATTTTAAATACAATGATGCCTTGTCAGCCTTGCTGGAAAACTGTGTGTAAATTAGTGTTTTCTCCAAACAACTGAAGGTATACCTCCTTATGAGTTGTGCTTTCTTTCATTTTAGTGAAAATACACCCGAAAGTCCTGACTACCTCAGTGTACCCGAAAATGTACCAAATAACTAAGATTGCTCGCCATTTTCACAGGACTGTGGTCCTAGAGCAAGTGAAAAGGGTAAAACGTGTTTGTTTTGTTAAGTAATCACTAATTAGATGTCAGGAAACAAAATATGTGAACATTAGGATTGGGCATGTTAGTGGAATAGCATGTAGCAGTAACTTTTGCCTTTCTAAGTAGGTATCAGATATATAGAAAACAATTACTTGGCAACTACAGAAAATGGAGATGTTAGGAAATTATGGCAAAAGATCTTGTGACTGAATTTTAGACAGTGAAATAAAGGACAACATAAAGAAGCCATTTCAGAATTTCAGAGCCAGGTGTATTAATAATATGTGGTTATTTTCTCTCCCATCTGCTAGCAAGATACAGGCAGTAATCAGGCCCTGAGAGCTACCTAGCCCAGAATTGTGGTTAACAGGTCAAATTCAAGACACCTGTCTGGTCTTCTGCTTCTTGTTCATTCCTGTTCCAATTACATTGGGTAGGATTCATTATATTTCAAGCTAGAATCCTTTTCCCTTGAATCTTTGTATGGCTACCAGCTTCTCAGCCCACAGGTTCACTAAGAAAGACTGTGTCAGACACTTAATTAAACTAAATACCTAAGCAAAATTCTTGTTCCTTTACTCCAATTCGTTTTCTCATATTTATTGCTGTTTGAGAGTTTTAACTCTGTCTCTTTGGTTTTTCAAGGCAGAGTGTCTCTGTGTGTAGTCCTGGCTGTTCTTGAGCTCTCTCTGTAGACAGGGCTGTTCTCAAGTTTACAGAGACCCGCCTGCCTCTGCTTCCCAAGTACTGGGATTAAAGGCGGGTGCTACCATGCCACCATGTTTTCTTTTTTAAGTGTTGGTTGTCTTCTTTCCTCTCCTTGATTATAAACTTGAAGGCAGGGGCTTTGTCTTGTTTACCACTGTATTTCTAATGCAGAAGACAGCAGAACATAGTACATGTTGAGTTAATACGGTGCCTTTTCTTTCACCTGGTGTAGTTTCACTCAGGAATCCAGGATGGTCCTTAACTTAGCTTATACCACTATGTGAATCAGTTAATGTCTGATACCTTACTCTTCTTTTCCAGGACATTGAATGTACTTCTCTTTTATAGTTGATGTAACAGTCCATTGTCAATTTACCTGTTCCTTGGGAAGAATTTATACATTGTGTTTTACTGAAGGGCAAGGGCTAGTACACTGTTTAGTTGTTAATGAAGCATTGTTTAATCTTAATTGTTTCTTGTTAAGGGTCTGTCAAGTGCCCCATTTGTTTTTCATCTACTCATGAAATCATACTATCTGCATTACATGTGGCAATTGTTTTATAAATAGTTGTTATATTTTTCATGCCATTAGAGCTTGGGAATCTTAAAGTGTGGGTGCTTTGCTGAGTAGATAACCTATAAATATTTGCTGATTTAATACCCACTGTTGTATTATGTTGCATTGTTATCATCTTAGGTTCAGCTGTAATTTTTTTTAACATACTTGCCAGTAGAAATCTGCCACTACAGGAATCTATGTGTTCCTCCACCTATTTCCATACCATTGGCCAATTTGCCTGACCATGTACTTGTTGAATTTTGTAATTCTAGAGAGAGTGTACGATCTGAGAGGAAAAGGCAGTGGGTTCAGGAGTTTTTCATAGCTGTCTTAGATTTAGGGATTTTTTTTTTTCTTCTCTAGGGTTTGAGCATGTGTTCCAGAGGAAGAGATTTGCTGTCTTAGGTTTTTTGCCTTAGGAATAAAATTCTTTGTTGCATGGCTATAACAAAATAAACTTGGGCCAGCAAGAGAGTTCATCAGGTAAAGAACTTGCTGCTAAGCCTGATGTCTGGAGTTTGAGCTGCGGGAGCCATGTGTAAGAATCAGAGAACCAGCTCCCATGAGTTGTCCTGACTCCACCTATGCACTGTGGCAGTACACACATACAAACATACACACAAAATAGTTACAAAATTTACATTGTGCCAAGAGCATGTGATGTGCAACATGCTCCACCTTTCAGTTTGTTTTTAACTTGTTATTAATGGGTTAGATCAAGGGTCTGATTGTTAGTTGAAGAGATTAAATAGTCTTTGTTCATTTTTTGAGGCAGGGTCTCACTCTGTAGGCCATGCTATCTTGGAACTCACTTTGTAGTCCAGGCAGACCTTGAATTTGTAATCCTCCTGCCTTCAGAGCACGGGGATTATAGTTTCTCCTTCCCATCTGATGTCTTCTGTAGCAGTCTCTACAGGTTGGGGGAAGACTGATAGTCTCCGTCATTCAAACAGGCTGGTATTCCTTGCTGTGAGGGATTACATGGGGAGGTCTAGTGGGGACTTCACTTTTCTGCCAGAGATTCCATTTCTACCCCACCAATTAGTTATAATATTTGAGGGATCAGTTGTTCCTTCCATGCTTAGAGTTTCCTGTGATTGAGGCTTAGGATATGGAAGACCTAGCTAGCCACCTGTGATTAATTTTGTGTATGATCTCTTCCTACCTGCCCAAGCTCTTGCTGCTTTCTGTCTCAGCCAAGCATGGTGAGGGGGTTCCTTGCAGGCTGTTTACCTCAGAGCTCTGCTGGAGAATCCCAGCACGAGGCTCCCCTACTACACTTGTTCCTCTATCCCACAGCCTGTGTAGCCCAGGCCATCTCTCCACTCACTGTGTCCAGCCCTGCATGTCTGCTCTCCAGGTCACTATTGTTGCAGTGCCTGTGTCCATAGGAAGAGCACTCCCCTGGCATATACTACTGATCAGGTCAGTGGGTGCCAGATGGCAGCCACTCCTGGCTACTGTTCTGCAGAGTCTCATCTTAGTCTTGATTCTTTTCAGCAGCTCTTACAAACATAAAAGCTGTATTGTTTTTACCCTGGTTCCTTTCCTTCCCTGGGCTGCTAATCCACCCTCTTATCTGGAAATCCTAGTTTTTATTAATAGATGTAAGTATCGAATCTGTAGTTTTTGTGGCTTTTGGTTTTTGTGGGTTTAAGTGAATTTTAAAAATTTAAAATGTTCTTTATTATTGTATTTCCTCTGTAGATACACTCTGTGCAGTTCTAGAAAGAGACACATTAAGTATTCGAGAAAGTCGACTCTTTGGAGCTATTGTACGTTGGGCAGAAGCAGAATGTCAGAGACAACAATTGCCTGTGACATTTGGAAACAAACAGAAAGTTCTAGGAAAAGCACTTTCCTTAATCCGGTTCCCACTGATGACAATTGAGGAATTTGCAGCAGGTAAGGCTGTAACTTCACTAATTTGAAACTATTTCCAAAGCAAGTAGAAGCTATGAATTACTAAGTACTAGTTACAAAATAAATATATTTGTGTATAATTTTATTTAATTCTCATAAGAGCTATTCAAGATAACATCCACATTTTATAACTTAGAAAGTAAACTAGAAAAGATTTGGTGCCTTGCCCAAGCCCAAGGTTATAGGGACAAATCTTTTGGCCTTTATAGGTGCTACTTCTGATTAAAATTAGACAGACCTGATTTTGAATTTGAGATGTGTGACTAGCACTCACATGGTAGTTCCCAACAGTCTGTAACTACAATCCCAAGGGACCTGATGCCTTGTTCTGTCCCCTTTGGGCACCAGAGAGAGATGCACATGACGCACAGACATACATACAGACAAAACAGTCATGTATACATCCAGGATAAAATAATAAAAATTAAAAAGAACATCCATATATGTGTCATTTGGTGTACATATAAATACTTCTATTGGGTGTATAAGAGTAGATCTACTAAGTTGAGTATGAATATGTTTACCATTAGTTTATCCTGTCAGTTTTCCAAAGTGAAAGAACAGAGTCCTTCTAACATTGAAAAACAAAGTGAAGACACTTCCGTTCAGTCTGATTGTTCACATGACAAGTGTCCTCTTTTTCTTTTCTTTTTCCTTTCCCCGAGACAGGGTTTCTCTGTATTGTTTTGGAGCCTATCCTGGAACTCGCTCCGTAGACCAGGCTGGTCTGGAACTCACAGAGATCCGCCTGCCTCTGCCTCCCGAGTGCTTGGACAAGTGTCCTCTTAACACTTTATCATTATTGTGGTAGTTTGTTTTCTATTGCTGTGATTGAAAACTATGACCAAAAGCAACTTGGGGAGGAAATAGTTTATTTCATCTTAAACCTTGGAGTAATTTCCAGCATATACACAGTATTGTGTTTAACCAACAGTAGCAATAACAACAAGAAACCCAATTTTAATTTTGTGGTAGAGTTTTTTCTTTTCAGAGCTGTGATTATAGGAATATGTTTTAATTTTCAAATATTTGAGGATTCTATTTTTATTTTCTCTTAATTCCAGTGTAATTAGAAAATTCTGTATCATCTCAGTCCTTTGAAATTTATTGGTGCTTGTTTTATGTCCCAACATGTTCAGTTTTAATAAATATCCATGTATACTAGAATGAATGTATTGTCAGTTGTTGAGTACAGAAAAATCTGATGAGGTCTATACTTGCGTAACAACTTGATTAATCCTGCATCTACAAAATAAATATTCTAAAAACAGTGTTCAAAATTTGAATGTATCTACTGTCTCCTTGTTCTGTCAGTTACTAAAAGAAATAGGTTTAAGTTTTTTGTTTTGGTTGAAAGTACATCTCCATTTGGTTCCATAAATGTTTTCTTTGTATATTTTGAGATTCGATCATTAGGTGAGGCAAATGTGATAACCACTACACTACAGAAACAAGCATGAGATTCTATCATTAGGTACATTAAATTTTGCAATTTAATTAATTTTATTCCTTTATCTTTATGATATATCCCACTTTAACTCTAGTAAAGTTTTTTTTAATTGTTGACACTAATGTGGTTTTACAGTGTTTAAAAAGCTTTTTGTACTTTATATTTTCTAAAGATTTGCTTTTATTATTTTTAGTTGGATGTGTGTGAGTGGTGTGGGCATATGGGTGTGGCTGCCCAAGGAGGCTGTGGTGTTGGATGCCTGGAGCTGGGAATCACACTGGATCTACAAGAGTGCTTAAGTGCTGGTGCTTATTAAGCCATCTTTCTAGATCTGTATTCTATGTTTTCCCCATTCTTTTAATAAGGTTTCATTATCTTTGCTTATCAGTTATGTTCTTGTAAGCTGCCCTTTTTAAGGCATCCAATTCTACAAGCATGATCTTTTGCTTAGAATATTTGATTTATATTTAGTAGATCACTGCTACATTTGATTTATATTTAATAGGTCTTTGGTACATTTGAGTTACCATTTTGCTACTTGTTCTTGACTCAGCTGTGGATTTGTGGTGGGTTTTATTTGTTTTCTCTTTCTTCCACTTTTGGAGAAACCAAGTGATTTCTGTTTGTTTTCTTCTATTTGTCTGTTAAATATTATTTTGTGGTTTTTAGTGAAAAGCAAGAAAAGTTAAGCAGTTTTAAAAGATAAATCAGTATTTTTTTTAATATTCTTTTAGTGGGTTACTTGATAATAAACAAATGCTTCCTTATGAGATTTTAAAGTTAAATCATAAAATTAAAAATTTCAAATTAAAATTTCCCATGCAGTAAAAAGATTTTTATTAATATTTAACTCTTCAGTATTTGTTGCCATTTCATACATTTTAACTCTTCATATATACTAAAGCCCATAAAATGTTGTTATCTTAAAAATCAGTAGTCATTTAGATTACCTGTAAATTCATGGAGTCATCCATCAGACTAAACAACTAGTATCTCTTACAGCAGGTGTTCAGCTGTCAGATTCTCTTAACTCTTTTCCCCTGTGTTCATCTGGAAACATCTTTTCTTGCTTTCAGTTTCAAGGATATGTTTCTAGAATATAACTCAGTCTAGCAGTTCTTCATCTATTATATAGATGTAATCCTGTTCCCTTTTGGCTTCCATTATTTCCCTTGGCCAGTCTTATTACCTCTTTAGAGGATAATGCCTTTTCTCTGGTACTTCTAGGATTTTACATTATGTTTGCTTTCCCGTGGGTTGTTGATGATGTATTAAGTGTATGCTTTTACACAACAGACATTTAATTTTTTGATTTACCTCTCTGTTAATAGTGCATGCTATTTTATATTCTTTAAGCTATTACATGTTTTTCATGACTTGAAGACTTTCCTTTTTTGTTTTGTTTTTTTCCAAGACAGAGTTTCTCTGTGTAGCCCAGGGTGTCCTGACACTCACTTTGTAGACTAGGCTGTTCTCTTAAGTGCTGGGATTAAAGGTGTGTGCCACAATCACCCAGTGAAGACTTTCTATAGCAAGGAAAATTCTCCTGCTATAGGCTTGAATTATGAATTTTTAGTGAGAGGGAGGGAGGTGTATGTTTTGTGATGTTATGTATAAATATGTAGAGGCCAGAGGTCAGCTTGGGTGATGTTTTGTAGGGACTGTTCACATTGGTTTTCTTTTTGAGACAGTCTCTGCCTGGCTTTGCCTTCCCAGTGTAGCATGAATTGTCCTTGGTCTTAATAATAAAAACTGGAGTGAAGGGAGGAAAGCTGAAAGATCAGAGAAGGAAAGCAGCCAGCCACTAGCTTTTATCTCTACCTCAGACCAAAGGGGCGATTCTGCCTTCGACTCCATCCTCAGACTCTGCTCTTCAGACTGCCATGAGCTCCTGTCTCCTCGTGCCTTACATTCCTCTTTCTGTCCAGCCATATCCCTTCCTGTCTCTACCTCCTTAGTGCTGGGATTAAAGGGCATGTGCTACCACTGCCTGGCCAGATGTTCTTTTAATTTTGTGTTTTAAAATCAGTGTGTTTCTTAATCCAAATTTTCTGGTATTTTGAAGCTTCTTATTCCACTGCTTCTATTGGCTTTGCAAGGGATCTCCTGGCCTCTTTTGTGAGGGAGCAGCAATAATTCTGGCAAGTTTAAAGTATTTGGCATTTTCTCCAGTAAGAAACAGTGAATGAGAAATTGTACTATGTAGTTTTCTATTTCCATAGCTTCCCAACCATAGTTCTCACCCTCTGCCAGCTTCTAAATTCCAGAAATAAAGCTTTATTCCCCTACTTTCTATGCTGAAAGGTTCCATGTTTATTTTACAGCTTCAGACAAGTAGGAAGAGGGAAATGGAGGGTCCCAATACCTGTCCATCCTGGAAATGATTGCCACAGAAAGAATGCTTTCCTTTGCTGAATGGAAATCTGTGATATTCAGAAGAGAAGACAGAATAATTATTTCTGTTATGGAGGAGTTCCATCTAAGTCTTCACTTAATCCTAACATATTCTTTCAGATTAACCTCAAAAGGATTTACCAAAACTTCAAATGTGTGCTAAAATTTTATATGCTAAGTATATTTTTTGTTTCTACAGGTCCTGCTCAGTCTGGAATTTTGTCAGATCGTGAAGTGGTAAACCTCTTCCTTCATTTTACCGTCAATCCTAAACCCCGAGTAGAATACATTGATCGGCCACGCTGCTGCCTCAGAGGAAAGGAGTGCTGCATCAATAGATTCCAGCAAGTGGAGAGCCGCTGGGGTTACAGTGGAACAAGTGATCGGATCAGGTGTCTGTCGGGTGGGCTCGGTGTGGGTGGAGGGGACAGTTAGGGTTAGCCTTTATCCTCTTGAGAGAGGTACTTAACAATATCTTACTTTACAGTTTGTTTAATGCAGGATGAGGCCAAAACTGCACACAAAGAAAAAATAATAACTGCTTTTAGCATATAATAGTAGGAACAAATGACTTAAATATTTAAGTAGAAAATGAACATAGAAAGAACACTAAAGAAATTAAATAGGCAAATGAAGAAAGTAGTGAGCTAAAAATAGAAAAAACTGATGAATTCATAATCTGTTTTCCATAAAAGATCAATAAAACAAACCATCCTAGAAAAGGAAGTTCCTTAAATTCCTATTTAGAAATCAAAATGTGACTATCCTATGCTAAAATTTATACTTTAGTTCTGGGTTTACTCTGTGCTAATAAATTGAACATCTTGATGGAATGGATCATTTTATAGGCAAATATAAATTATCAAAATTGACTGAAGAAGAAAGCCTGAGTAGACCAATTACCCTGGGAAGAATTAAGTTATCAGAGAACTGTCCATTCACAAAGTTTTTACAGGTGAGTTTTTATTAAATATTCAAGGAACAGAGTTTCCTTGAGCACTGAAAGAAGTAAATACCATGTGGTTAGTTTCTGAAGGAAGCAAAATTCAGATAAGAGTTGAATAAGACGCATATTCTGGATCCACTCCACCTTAACAGGACAGTGCTATGAGAACAGATAGAGTGTATTTAGAGAGAAGAAGTAGGTCAGTGTTAATGTGTTAATAAAGCTCTTCACTGTAAGAGACTAAAGAAAACCGCGGTTCCTACAGATAGCAAGACTCTCAGATGGGAAAGGGGTGCCTTTGATAAAATTTTATCTCTGTACCTGGTGATAACTACTAATAGGTTAAGTCTTGAAAACATTTCACTAACAGTGATTGACCACTAAAGAGAAATTAGGAATTGAAACTCCTGATAGATACCTACTACCTTTGCTGAGTTTCAGCAGTCATTCATACAGTCATAAATTAGCCCTATATAATCAGAAAGGAAGAGGCCTTTTCCATTAATTCTGCATGTACCTTAGTATATAGCTCTAGGAAACTCAGTTTTTCTGTAGTAAAAAGAATTTTTTTCCTGAGACAGGGTATCACTGTGTAGCAGCCCTGGCGTCATGGAACTTGATTTGTAGGTCAGACTGGCCTCAAACCCTCAGAGATCTACCTTTCTCTGCTTCCCGAGTGCTGGGATTAAAGGCTTGTGCTACCACTGCCAGGCAAATATTTTTTTATGTCTTCCTTTACTGATTTGAAATGAAATTCATAGTGTCACACTTTAGGGGATAAATGGCCTAGCTATAATTAATACAAAAGAGAAATAAATATAGCCGATAATAAAAATTTAAGGAGACACAATGAAGCTAATAGTAAAATTAGTACTTCAATATGTAGACTTTCAGTAGGACACTAGCAGGCAAACTGAAGTGTACATCTCAATATATGTGTATTCATACATGTGTCAGCTACAAAATAATGTACATGTTAATACCTTACATTCCAATATTTGATAAAAGTTGAGACAGTTCTATATATTCATATTTCCATATCTGAACTTACCTACTGGTTGAAAGTTGTTTCAGATTCTAAAATCATTACTCAGATTTTTAGTCCTTTTCTGGCAGACTTTAGTTGCCTGTTCCCAGGCAAGCTGAAGCACTGCCTTCCTGTTTCACCTTTCCTGCAGAGATGGAAGAGGTAAGGGTAGTGCAGTGCAGGGGAGTGTTGTGGGCTGGGTCTAACGGGTAGGTCCAGGTGAAGCATCTGTTAGTAGGGCAGCCTTGGTCAAGTAACTGATGACAATGTAGGATGAGTTGTTCATAGGATCTAAGTGGAAGGTAGATAGGGGTGTCTGTGTGTGTCTTAACTTATGATGTGTGGGTATAAATTTGTGTGTATGCATATATACATAATTACCAGTGGCAACAATAAATGTGTAAGAGTTTCTTTACTTATATGGTACTTGCCTTTTAGGAAAATCGATAAAATTACACTAAAATATGATTACAGCTTACAGTCATAGCAAACATTTTCCTTTCATGAACTTTGGGATTCTTGATTATGGGACTCTGTTCTGTATATCACAAGAATTGTAGTGTCACTGGCTCCCTATGCCCAAACCTTAGGGTGAAGAGAACCCTAGTAAAAAACCCATTGGAACTAAGAGAAGAATAATTGCCGCTTAAAAATGAAAATTCAACATTATTCTTACCATTATTAAAACTGTTACATTAAGAGGCTTCAGTTACAGAAATGAACAGTGGTCACAGTTGTACAGTGATGTAAATGTACACTTAACTGTGGCTAATGTGCTATAGTTTATATGTATACTGCCATAATAGGAAAACCCAAGACTTTAAATGTAAAAAAAGAGTTAAGTAACATTTTAAGTCTATATTTTACTATATTATAGTAAATTGTATGTTTATTATGTTGGACATTACTGTAATAGAGTAGGATTAAACTGTGAAATGTCCAGCAAGTAGTACTTCTGTGTAGAGCTAGAATGGCTGGAGTCATAACTTTTTTTTTTTTTCTCGAGACAGGGTTTCTCTGTATTGTTTTAGAGGCTGTCCTGGAATTAGCTCTGTAGACCAGGCTGGCCTCGAACTCACAGAGATCCACCTGCCTCTGCCTCCCGAGTGCTGGGATTAAAGGCGTGCGCCACCAACGCCCGGCTGGAGTCATACTTTTTACTTTTAATTTTTTTTTGTTTTTGTTTTTTTGAGACACTGTAGCTTTGGAGCCTATCCTGGCACTCGCTCTGTAGACCAGGCTGGCCTGGACTTATGGACATCCACCTGCCTCTGACTCCCGAGTGCTGGTATTAAAGGCATGTGTCACCAACGCCCAGCAGAATCACATCTTAATAAGAATAAATTAATGTTTTAAATTGAGTATGTTAGAAAGTTCATTATGCACAGTGCCCTATGCACAAGGAGGCATAATTTCATTGAAATGCTTCTCAAAGTACCTGTCCCTTCTTCCTATGAAGATGGGTTCTATAGATAGGCTACCTGGGTTATTTTAAGGGCCTAGGGGCAAATCTGGTGTGATCTTGGTCATGTAGATAGGGCAGAGGTCATCTGGATTATTAGAACCTCCAGTCCTGGTTGTGGGAGCTTGGGGGAACCCCCTATCATACTAATAACACAAATGTCTCCTAGAGTATTAAGTATTTCCAGTCCTGCTTGGGGGAGCTTGCTATGTCCTACAAATAATACATGGATCACCTAGGCTAATAGCCACCTCTAATCCCAGCCTTATGGGCAGAAAACAAGTTATACATCTTTTTCTTTGAAAAGATAACCCTGAGTGTTTAATATTCCTGGCTTACCTAGTGCTCTGTGAGTACAACCTTTGGCCTGTGTTTCCCAACACCTTCTCTTTCTCCCACGATGTTGTCCAGATTGTCCTGATCTTGTGAGCACAAGTATTCCTCCTGTTTGACTTCTTGGGCAGCTCGGACCATGAAAGTGTTGTATTCATGCCTGTATAAAGCTTGTTTCTATGACTACAAAAACTCGGGATAATAAAAATTGATAGTTCACTAATGTGTAGGGCTGCTGTGCTATTCAAAGGAGGTAGCTATACTAGGAAATGGAGCTTAGGACTCAGCACATAAGGAAGCTATAGTAAGAAATGGAGCTTAGGACTCAGCACATAAGGAAGTACTTACAAAACTGTAGTGGTATACCGAAAATGCTGAGAATTACAGATTAGCTATAATTATTATGTATAATACAGTCTTTTCAGTTGCCTTTATATTTAATGTCATTTTTTATACATAGAATAAATGAAGTAAGATGACCAGTTGATTATTGTGACCAAACTAGACTTGCTAATTATTTTATGGAGCCTTTATTCAAATCCACCAATGTAAGTTGGTGCTTGTTTCTACCCATCTACCATCAACTGTTAGTTTAGTGCATTTACTTCTCTTAGCACAATTTATAATTATTATTTATCCCTTCTCTTGTTTATCACTGTCTCCCATGTGGCAAAAATAAAAACTACCTTGCTCACCATTGTTCCCTGACAAGCCACACATAGTGACTGAATATGATAGGCCCTTAGCAAGTATTCACAGAACTGATATAGTACGTCCAAGATTGCGACTTTGAACTTAATGACTAGGATGTTCATGAGGGAGATTTGGATGAGTGTAGTACAGAACCCACCATTACAATAAAAGCAGGTGTTTAAAGTTACAATCCTAAACTAAACAGAACAAATCCTACTTGAGTTTCTCTTCAGTTCACATTAGGATTTGTGGGCAATAAAGACATCTTCAAAAGTGTCTTTATGATAATATTCTTTTTGTAAGTAAAATCCAGGTAATACTTTAAAAAGCTCTAACCTTCAAAATACAAACACTTAGAGAATTGTTTATGTTATTTTGTAACTGGATCCTTTCTCACAGGTTCACAGTTAACAGAAGAATTTCTGTAGTTGGATTTGGTTTGTATGGATCTATTCATGGGCCCACGGATTATCAAGTGAATATACAGGTAATTTCCATCCCTGTTGTCACCTGTGATATAGTAGCAACTTTGCAATAAATATTGTCTTGACAAAAACCCAGATTTCATTGTCATTGTCAAAGGAATCAGGAAGCAGCAGTAGTATCTTTTTTTTTTTTTTTTTTTGGTTTTTCAGACAGGGTTTCTCTGTGGCTTTGGAGGCTGTCCTGGAACTCACTTTGTAGACCAGGCTGGCCTCGAACTCACAGAGATCCACCTGCCTCTGCCTCCCGAGTGCTGGGATTAAAGGCGTGTGCCACCAACGCCCGGCTAGCAGTAGTATGTTAAAACATTTTTGTTCTGTGGTTGTTGTAAAAATTGTGGTTTCAGGAAATTGGGATCCTCTAGAAAAGTAGTAGCATAGCTGGAGGTAACTTTTGTCCAGGAAACCCTTACAGTAATTCCTGTTTTATTGACTTAAAATGCCCTTCTGCCCTTTCATGTGCCTTGAAACTATGGCATTACTTCACGCCGCCTCCAACTCTCTTGATTTAGGAGTGTCTGAATAATACTGCACATTCTTCTTTTGCTTTGTTTTTGTGTTTGTTTCATTCTGACAGGGGCTTGCATCTGAGGATGGTCTGAAGTTGTCATCCTTCTACTCCTGTCTTCCTAGTACTGAGGCTATACAAGGCATGTGCCGGCATGCTGCTCTGTCTGTTCTTTAGGGCTGCCCCACCTCAGTTCTCCCAGACAGGGCTCTGAAGTTAACACCACCTTGTTCCAGCTTCTAATGAGCTGCTGCTCTTTGGATTGCATACTCCGTCAAGTAAAATTATTTTTGAAAACACACCAGTGTTATTCTTTTATTTATGAACTATACAATACTGTGTCTGTATTTTATACATAAAGTAAAAAAAATGGGAGAAAAGAAAGTAAAACATGTTTCAAGCTTTTATCAATAAAGCAAAAATGTACCTTATAAATGTTACCGCTGTATTCTCTTTAATAGTAAAATCTTTGAACCCTGTAGTTAACTGTAGCAGTTGCATCACTCAAAGACTGCCCCCACCCCCTTCGATCTCAGTTCTCCAAAATCCCATGGGACAGCAGGATTGAAGCAACAAGGGTGTAAATTGATGGTAATCGATGCAAGATGTTGAAAATAAATCCATATGCTAATAATGGCACCTTGTTTTAGTGTAATGGTATTTTCTAGAGATTTTAATTTGATAGAACTGACCTCTTTTATTGAACAGTAGTAGACACTTGAAAAGTATATTCACTGAGAGTGGTGGTGCACACCTTTAATCCTAACCCTTGAGTGTTCTAGTCCAGCTAGGGTTACTTAGTGAGATCTTGTCTTTGAAGGGAGGTGGGGCAGGTTATATTAGTAAATGGCATGTATGGCTTAGTTTTCACAGACACTCCCCCGCCCCCCTCCAGTAACCACTGTTCAGACTTAAGCTTTAGGTGGGTTTTGCCCATTTCATTTCTGTTTCCTAGACTGTTGGCAGAAAGGCAGGCAGACGTGTGAGGCTTGTCCCATGTATGGAAGCCCTCCTAGTAACTTGGTAAGCTCTGACTTGAGCTTTTCAAGCCATCCTCCATGAAGCTTCACACCCTTTAACAAAAGCAGCTTCCTCTCTGTCCAGCTTCTTGTCTTCTGAACTGGCACTGCCTGCACATTTCCTTTATTGGTTTGACTCTCCTGGAGGGTGTCCTGTAATGTCCCCATATATCACTTAAAACTGATAAGATAGAATTAACTTAATTATTCACAGACATGGCAGTGCATTCAAGGGCATTTTAATTTCAGTAAATACCGAAGCAAAATGTTGAGATGATTATCCTATGAATAAGACATGGGCTAATCAAGGAGGAAAGATTTTTTCCCCCCTCCAATATCTTAAGTCCATCTCCCCACCCCACCGAAAACAGGGTATCTCTGCATATCCCTGGCTGCTCTGGAACTCGCTTTGCAAACTAGACTGGCCTCAAACTCACAGAGACTCACCTGTTTCTGCCTCCCAAGTGATGGGACTAAACGTGTGCACCACCACAGCCTGGCTCAAGTCCACATTCTAAAGTGTTTTGTGTGGAAGCCCTCTTCTGCAGCCAAGACCCTGTTGCCTGATGCCTTCTGCGTTCTTCCTGGGATGCATGAGTTAAAGAGGTGTTTTCCGATCATTAACTGCTTTTAAAATGCTTCTTTGATAATTAGATAAGTAGAGAAAAATTAGAATATGGAAAGTCCATGTCAACTTCTAAAGACTTCATATTCTTTTCTACAACACTGTTACAATTTAACTTAAATGTTACTTCTTTTTTTTTAAAAATCACAGATCATTGAATATGAGAAAAAACAAACCTTGGGACAAAATGATACCGGATTTAGTTGTGATGGGACTGCTAACACATTCAGGGTCATGTTCAAAGAACCTATAGAGATCCTGCCCAATGTATGTTACACAGCATGCGCAACACTCAAGGTAAGAAGAGCCGCTCAGCTCCACAGGCTGCACCTGCTCTGCACTCTCATGAGGCTCCTGACTTCCGTGTTCTACAGAGTCACTGTTACAGGAGTCTCTTAGAAAGGGGAAGAGGGAGGTGGAGCCAAGAAACTCCACTGCATTAAGTGCTCCCCAGCCCTACACTGTTTTGAGAGAAAAGTTCTTCCCAAGAACTTCCCCTTTGGCTAAAGAAATTGACCTTTCCACAGTTGTTAATGGCCTACCTCTGTATGTTTCTAATTGTATTTACCTGAAAACTTCATATTTCATTAAATGACTGAAATTTTATACGGGATCTGAAATGACTAGGGTAGACCAGTAGTCAAATGAGAACATGTTGAGTGTGTATTCCAGATGCAGTCACTAAACCATTTATTCTCATTTAGGGTCCAGATTCTCACTACGGCACAAAAGGACTGAAGAAAGTAGTACATGAGACCCCTGCTGCAAGCAAGACTGTTTTCCTATTTTTCAGCTCCCCTGGCAATAACAATGGCACTTCGATAGAAGATGGACAAATACCAGAAATAATATTTTATACATAATCTAGTGTTAACGACCATTCAGTCTAATCTTAAACATAAACAAGTGGCCACAAATAGTTTGAGTGTCATGAGTATTTATAATTACAGAATAAGAAACATTTTAGTTTCTTTGAGGAGGTAAAAAAGTTTATTTAAATCTCTGCATGATTCAAAGGCAGATTTTCCATTTTCTCATAACCCAGTTTGTGTGAAAACCGCAGTCTTTCCGCTTCGTCTTGTGTGATCCATAGGTCTGCTGACTTGTGATCTTTCAATAGTTTGGGAATTGAAAGATTTTTGTCATATGTAGCAGATACGAGTATTTGCGCTTTTTAAAAAACTTTTGTTTTTACTATTTTGAAAGTTAGGTGAAATGGGTCAGTATTCTTACAGAACTCTTTTTAACTCAGATAATTTCAGAAAATTAAGAAAACTAACTTTGTATTTGGGATTTTGAAATATGTGGTTGCTAGCATTTGGAATAATGCTAAAAAGTAAACCTAAAAAAGCACCCAAGAAAAATTTCAGTTCATTTACAGAAAAAGGTATTTTGTAATAGTATAGTAGTGTATTGCATAGTACTGTTTTAAATCTGTAAGTGGAGTTTGTATAAATTCACAATAATTGATATAAATAGATCTATAGGGATGATCTGAGATGATTCTTTATCACTCCCATCCCACTATGTCTGTCATGATGCTGCCAGTAATTCCTAGATGGTTGAGATACGATGGAGGTGCTGACAGATACCACTGTAGCATTGCAGTAACTGTACACAGCAAGGAAGGAGATAAAATACTAAGTTCCTGACAGCTGCTTTGAAATCATGAAGCTGTCCAACTAGTCACTCCTGTTTAAAAGGAAGGAGGCTTTTTTGTCACCTATATAGTTCTATCCAAGAAGCAAAATGCTTGATATGCTTATGTGACTGGCACATCTATAAGAGAGTGGGTCAGAAGAATATCTGGCAGTGTGATGATTCTGCATTTTTATATAAAACTGATTTTTAAAATACATGTGAGAATATTTTTCCCTTGAAAATGATTATCTTATAAAAAACCTTGCATAAATTAAGCTTAAGGGGTATTAGTCTATCAGATAGTTGTGGAAAATCATTAAAAATTCTTTCAAGTATCAACTTAAGAATTTTTTTCTAAATAGGATATGAAGGATTTCATCAAAAGTAGTAATTTGCATTTTCAAGAGGACAGGGAGGTAATGTGTTGGTGGCTAGGGTCTCTTGAAGTTGCTGAAGAAAGGGAATTGCTTCTTGTTTACTCTGGTACCATGATCTTATGTTGTCAGCCTCAGTTAGCTGGAATACCCACTAATGTGTGATTCTGCTAAAATGAAGTTTAGCAAAGACCAGTAGGGGGGTATTAACAAGTATTGCATGCCAGACATAAGGTAGTGCCATCCATATGCCTTGCTTTTTACCGAACAACTATAATGGAATGTACAAGAAACTGAACCACTCACTGACATTGGGACATCACCTGGAATCTTTAAAATAAATTTATCATTTTTGTTTATCAATTTTTTTGTCATCTGCCTTTTTTTCCTTCTAAAAGTTGAATATAGAGTACTTTGGAACAAAGGTTCTAGTTAACTAAAGTTTATTTCTTATGCACTTCGAATTTTAATCAATGCTTACAGAGTGGGGGCAGGTACATAAGCTGCCTAATGTGGTTTGAATGAAAACAGCCCCCAGGCTAATAGAGTGGCACTATTAGAACGTGTGGTGATAATTTTCTGTCATCTTAGTGGCTGCACATGAATCTACTGATACTTTAATTATTATCTGTGACCCCACAGTCACGCCCCTCTGACCCCTCTGGCCAATGAGGCTGAGGCTTGGAGGGCCTTCCATTCCTGTGGCCCAGGCTCTGCCATGGCCACAATATGTAGGTTTAAACTAAGTCACTCTATTTAACAACAGTGACTTGGAAGTCAGATGAGGGGATAAAAACCTGCTCGATCAGAGAAGCTGAGAAGTAACCAGCTTTGCTTTTCGGTCAGAGACCCAGCAAGAGACATTCTTCTTCACTCATCCCTGAACCAAACTCTAGTCCTGGCCTTTCCTTTCTTTTCCTCTTCTCTTTCCAGATGCCTGGCTTCTCTGGCTAATTCTGGTCAGCTAGTCACTGGTTCTCCCCCTGATTCAAGGTTAACTTACTGTCTTTCTCCTGCTGCCAGATGTAGAACTCTGTCAGCTACCTCTCCAGCACCACATTTGTCTTCCTGCCTGACAACGGATTAAACCTTTGAACCGTAAGCCAGCCCCAATTAAATGTTTTCCTTTATGAGTTCCGTGGTTATTGTGTGTTTTCATAGCAATAGAATATTGAGCAAGATACCTGGCTTGATTGAGTTCCATCTCTAGTACCAAAATGCCATTCACTGCAGCCCCACGATTACTGTGTACAGGCCTTTGCATAAACATGTGTTGGTATTACAATGTCCAGACAAAAAAATTAACATTTAGAAAGGTTACTGGGTACAATTTCAAGTCTTTATGCCCCAAGTGACTGAGCAGGGAAAATACTTGGTTGAGTTACCAAGAGTTGGTGGTTGTGATGTACACCTTCAGATCCAAATAGCCAGAGAAAGGTGGCTCAGTCAGCCTGTTATACAGAGTGAGTTCCAGGACCACACAGATGCTGTCTCAAAAAACAAAACAAAACAAAAACACCACTTAAATAAGACTAATGTACCAATTCCTAAAAAAAAAAAAAAAAAAGTATTCCTACAAAGTATTTCTATTCTAATGTCTACCCAACAAATTAAGTTGTAACATTTGTACTTTCAAGCATTGTGTTTTAGGTACACCAAAAAAGAAAAAAATAAATTTGACTAACTTCTATCTACCGTAGAATATCAATACATTTAAAAGTATTCCTACAAAAGCATCGTCATCCTATTATCAACTGAACAAATCAAGATGTAATGTTTGTACTTCCAAAATTGTATTTTAGGTCCACATAAAGTTTTAGATAGACAAACTTTCAAACAAAAAATGGAATAAAAATACAGGAGAAAAGAGTATGGCCGCCAAATGTTGTACATGAAACACAATGTTCAGCATTCACTGTCATTCTTCTCTTGCTAGTTAGTGTTTTCCTCTGTCTTCTGTCTCTGTTCTTGTCCTCACAGTCATGTGAACTGACCAAACTGAGCAAAATACATAAGAGTGACCATGAGCATTTACTTTTACTGCATACTTTAACTCTTACGCTGGAGTAAGATTTTCAAGACCAAATTTAAAATGGAATCTAAGATTTACAATTGGTTTCACCATCGGGATCACTGCCCCTGTCCTGGTTTGGGTGCGGCAGATTGAGCTGAGGGCTCGTGTTCTTTCTGGCTGGTGTGAGGAAGTCCTGTGCTTCCTTACAGGATACTTCTTCCCTCTCCTTTCACCCATCTAGCCACCTGCCAGGCACCATCAGTAATTCACCTACATGTGTCCCCTCCCTTTAACATGAAAAAAAAAAAACTCACTACAGTATAATTTTGGTTCCGCTTTGTGCCTCGATTGTAATTTATTTCAAAAGAAATAGGTGTGTGGTTTAACACGTGGATCCCTGTCTGAGCCTTAAGGCAGTTTTTCAGCCACTTCCTTCTCATGACCACATCACATAACCTCGTCTTTTGGAACTGATGTCTCTGGGAGAGTAAATTGAGATGCCCCGTTCTGATCACAACTTTAATGGCTGTTTTCAGCACTCACATTCAATCCCACTTGTTACTGGATCTGAACGATGCAGCCCTTAGACATTTCTGTCTTGTCAACCCTCTTGACTGACTTCCCTATTTAGTTAGTTATGGGTTTTTAACCACTTTGGTGACACCCAGTCTTCTTGTATACACTCAGGTCGCTGTGATTGCCTGCATTACTGGTTGGCTCCCTAGCTGCTGAGACCAGGCATTCATAGTTTGGGGTGTAGCTTAGTGGCAGAACATGTATTCAGCGTCAAAAATAAAATGATGTTAAGTGGAGATTGGGGTTTTGGTTTCCTCTGACTCCAGCCTGAATCAGATTGCCAGTGCCACAGCTCTGCCATTTTCCAAACGCTTTATAACTATTCCTTAGTCCTTTCCTTCAGCATATCCCCACCCCTGGCTAGAGAACCCTCTTCTAGCTCATTCCCATGCTTTCAAATGCTTTTCCTATCCGTTTCAAAAAATAAAGTCCCTGAGTATCTCAAGGCCCCCAGATTCCTGTCACTTCACAGCAAAGTGTAACATATTATCTACACACTTCTATTTATCCACTAAAAGCGCCCCCATCTGGGTCACTGATACCACTAATTTCCTAGATCTGTGAACACCTGGTCATTTCTCTGGTCTTGTGCCAGCTGCCAGCTGACCACTCCTTCCCGTTTGAAGCAATCTCCATTAGCTGCAGTTACACTGTACTTCCTCCGGCTGGTGTTCAGTTGTGGCTTGTCTCCCTGCCCTTCTTGCTCTGCGCTGCACTCACTGCACGGCAGTTCGGCACATTTGGAATGTCTCTGACGATCCATTTCCTTCTTGTTACCATCTGTTCTCTATGCTTCATTTGGGCATTCGATAGCTTCGTAACTATTCCTCTTGGATGTCTCCAATCATTTAAAACTTACTGTACCCTAAAAACTCACCTCAAACTGCCAGCCCTGATCACTAGCCCCAGACTTGGGCATCTTCAGTCTTAGTTGCTACGTGTGATCTTTCCTCCACGTCTGACCATTCAGGACCAAAGATCCTCAGATGGTTACAATCCACCTCCCATTTAGGTGGCAGATGTCTTGCCACCTCTAGGCATATGTTGTCCACACATTGTAACCTAACCGCACAAGGCCAGTCCCTAACTTAAGCGCGCGCATTGACTTGCCTCTGCGCCACTCTCACGAGTGGTTGTATTCTGTTTGGCAGTGTATCTCCTCTCCTTTCGCACTGCACTGTGAGAATTGCCACGATGCCTCGTGGGTCATGTGAACGACGAGGCTGTCCTTGTCACTCACTCCTAAGGACAGGCGACAGCTTTACCCACGCTCACAAAGAGGGCTCACCACATGATCACACCCCAGGCAGTCAGGTTCCAAAAGAACGAAACCCGCGCCATCCAGACGCAAGGTGGCGCTCTCAGATGATGGCCGGACGCGCACGCCGCGGACTGAAGCGGCGTGCGCAGGCGCACAGGACTCTTCCGCCGCGCGGTGGCTCTCTTCGGCGGCCTGTGGGCTTGGGATGCTGCAGCTCGTTGTGGGTCGCGGCGCTTTGGCCCCTGCTAGGTTCCTGTCTAGTTCCGCGATGCCTAAGAAAGCCGGGGCGACGAGCAAGGCCAGTGGCAAGTCCCATGGTGTGGAGAGGGTAGGCCACCGGGCTACACCAGCAGGAAACAGAAGCAGCGCCTGGAGGGTGTAGGATCGGGTCCAGCCTTCCTGGGTCACACATTAGCCCGTCTGAGGACCACCGAGCCTAGGCTCCACTGCACACCTGCTAGCCTCTGCCTCGCTCCCGCACTTCGAGGGTTTCACTTCCCGGCATGCTGTGTCGTCTGCCTTCCTCTGGTCAAGGAGACAGCACTCCCTCCCTGATATCTTCCTTCTCCAGCTCCAACTCCTTTCAATGACCCAGCTCAGGCACCGCCACCTACTGGCACCTTCCCCAGCTCCCCAGCCCTGGCTGCCTTTCTCCATGCAGAAATACATGTACTGTGTATGTGTGCTTCACTGGTGCAATGAGCACAGTTAAGTACTTTATTCTGGTTCTCTCGCGTTGTGGCCCCAGCCCCTTTAGGTCTGGGAGTGTCTCTTCACACTCAGTCTGCACACTGCCCTGGAATTCACGAGTAAAAAGTTCTTAGCATGGCATAAATGCTAAGTGCCAGTCATTATTGATCTTTCTGCAATCCACCCCTCACCCTCTCACCCACTCCGAGCTTTAGTATGCATTGGGTGTAAAGATGACTAATTAATAGTTCTACTCTTGAGGAATAGGAACTATAAAGCAGACTATAGGACAAGAACTTTTTGGGGGGGGGGGGGGGTTCAAGACAGGGTTTCTCTGTGGCTTTGGATACTGTCCTGGAACTAGCTCTTGTAGACCAGGCTGGTCTTGAACTCACAGAGATCCGCCTGCCTCTGCCTCTCCATTGCTGGGATTAAAGGCGTGGGCCACCACCACCCACTATAGGAACAAGTTCCGAGGTAGCCAGAATGAGATCTGAACACACACACACACACACACACACACACACACACACACTTCCAGCTTTAGGCTACACCAAATAAATAAGTAATAAATAGTCTCTACGTGTTGGGAAAGCAGCATGAAGGTGCAGAGGTCAGAGTCAGGCCTTCCAAGGCCGTATAACACTGGGTTGATGGGAGGCTGGCTGAGTCCTTGATGGATGTGGGGGGAAACTCCTCGGTGACCAGTTGCTGGACTGTAACCCAGTTAGTGAAGGTGAGGGGTAGTACGGGGTACGTAAAAGCGTGATGAAGTATTTTGTAACCTGTAAAATTGTGTGTGTCATTTCAGGGTAAAAACCAAACCAAGGAACCTGAGACACCACCTCCTCCTGCTGGGCCTGTGGCAACTGATCCTAAAGGTTGTGTCACCATTGCCATCCATGCCAAACCTGGCTCCAAACAGAATGCTGTGACAGGTACATCTGAGCACTGATGGGATTCGTGTGTGGATCAGGCTCTTCACCTGCTCTCTGCCGTGTTAGCTGACAGCCTACCCTGTGACTATAGATGCTATTTTTATATCTGATATAGAGGCTTCTCTGTTTAAAAACACTGTGTTTCCATACAAAGGTATTTGAAACAAAATATGCAATATTTAATACCAAGTTAGATGGAAACCATTGTATCTCTCCCTTTTTAAAGATGTGGTGCTTTGCAGATGGCCTGGTTACGTGTACCAGTAATTCATGAGTGCCTAGGAACTGAGGCAGGGGGATCTTGAGTTTGAGGTCAGTCAGGAACAAGTCCCCGTCCCTAAACAACAAAACATTTGGGTGGCACACATAAGGAAACATATAACCTAGACTGCCCTTGGTTTTTCTTGTTTTGAAAATTAGAGACACTGAAAGGAGCGATACTTTGGTGTAGTGTAATGATCATTAACCTGAAAACCAGGAGAGAGCCTGAGCCCTGACACCCTGCCTAGTTCCTAAGCAAGGGTAAAGTTGGAGCTGAATTGTCTTAAAAATCTCTATTTTCAAGATAAAGCTTTGCATACCATTTTTTTTATTTTTATATTTTGAAAATACTACAACCAAAACCCAAGTGCTAGATAGGCCTGGCCATGTTACCTTGTATCTGTTGCCCATACTTTGACCAGTTTTTCTTGCTTGCTTCCTTGCTTTTTTTCAGATAAGACTTGCTGTGTAGCCTATGCTGGGCTCAAACTTACCTTCTGCCTCAGCCTCTCAAGTGCAAGGATTGTAGGTTTGTGCCACACCAAGCCCAACCTTTTGGTCAGTGTTTTCTTTTTTCTTTCTTTTTCTTTTTTTTTTTTTTTTTTTTTTTTTTTTTGGTTTTACGAGACAGGGTTTCTCCATATTGTTTTGGAGGCTGTTATTATGACATGCTTTAGGAAAGCTTATATGCCCCTAATTGTTAGATACATGTTACGTGCACTGAACATTGGAGGCATTTAAGATACACATCACAAAAGATAGGAACCTAGCCTAGTGTGTCCCTTTTCCTGATGTGAAACCCTGAAGCCTGTGTGGTCTAATGTGCATCTTCATCCCTGCACTGCCTAAGTGACATTGGTGGAGCTCAGTTCCCAACTCCCTCCCTGCCTTTCTGTTCAAAGGCAATTCTAGTTGCCTAAATTCAAGAGGCTCTCTAGGACTCTGGACCTGTCCAGTCAGCAGGGTGTTCTCTTTTGTGGGTGTGTGTTCCCTAACTGTAGCTGCCTACTTAGCTGTTCACTGAGCTGTTAGTTTAATCATTTGATCCAGTCCTTGTTTGTGTGCAAGACTGCTCAGCAGCTGTGAACTGAAAGCCTGTCCCACGCATACAAATTGTTGGACAGCTCCTACCTCCATGGAGGGAGAGACCCCCTTAAGGATGAAGTTCATGCCATTTCATTCCAGATCTGACCACTGAGGCCGTGGGTGTGGCGATCGCAGCCCCTCCATCGGAGGGAGAAGCAAATGCGGAGCTCTGTCGGTATCTTTCCAAGGTCTTAGAGCTCAGGAAGAGCGATGTGGTTCTGGATAAGGTAGGTCTCTCCCTTTTAAATTAGTATATACCGATGGTAGTTCTGATCCTCTGTCTGTAAAGGGTTAGTGTATTCTGATGGTAGTTCTGATTCTGTCTGTAAAGGGGTTAGTATATTCCGATGGTAGTTCTGATCCTCTGTCTGTAAAGGGTTAGAATATTCTGATGGTAGTTCTGATCCTCTGTCTGTAAAGGCGTTAGTATATTCTGATGGTAGTTCTGATCCTCTGTAAAGGGTTAGTGTATTCTGATGGTAGTTCTGATTCTGTCTGTAAAGGGTTAGAATATTCTGATGGTAGTTCTGATCCTCTGTCTGTAAAGGGTCAGTGTATTCTTTTTTTTTTTTTTTTTTTTTTGTGGTTTTTCGAGATAGGGTTTCTCTGTAGCTTTGGAGGCTGTCCTGGAACTCACTTTGTAGACCAGGCTGGCCTCGAACTCACAGAGATCCGCCTGCCTCTGCCTCCCGAGTGCAGGGTTAGTGTATTCTGATGGTAGTTCTGATTCTGTCTGTAAAGGGTGAGTATATTCTGATGGTAGTTCTGACTTTGTCTGTAAAGGCAGTTTTAAATTTTATGTGCATGGCTGTCTTGCCTGCATTGCTGTGCACCACTTGCATCCCTGGTGCCCTCAGGGCACAAAAACTCCTAGGACTGGAGTTACAGATGGTTGTGAGCCACCATGTGGGTGCTGGGAATCAAGCCTGGGTCCTCTGGAAGAGCATTCAGTGCTCTTAACCACTGAACCATCATCTCTCCAGTCTTATAAAGCCAGTTTTAAAAAACTCATATTCATTTAAACACAACACTCTGTGACCTCATAGTCTGCTTTATCCACACTGCCTCCATCATATTGAGACTGGGCACGCTTTGTTCACAGTCCTTCATTTTGCTCATTTCTAGCATTTTTCTCCTTTCTAAATTCTACTGTACCTACTCTCAGATTAGTCTTGTCCAATTCCTCTGAATACAGTAAAATGGTTCCTGTTTGTCATCTCCGTTAAGGAGTTTGCCAGGCATTTCCGACCCCCGCTGGTTCTGCTCAGTAGGGTTCCTGTTGTGAAGACAAGTTTATATGAAGTCAATACCTTGGTTTTACTTCAGAATCATCAGAGAATGATTTTAAAACAGGCCCCAGTCTCTGTAGAGAATAGAATAGAATCCGTGTGCAAGAGAGCAGGCCAACTTTATGTCTTAAAGCTCTTCATGTGGTCTAGTGCTGTGTGTACCCTACAGTTCATATCTGGGTGATTAGTAATTGATTAATACTCTGCACCTAAAAGTCCCTCTATTCGGCTGCTTCCTTTCCCGGGTGTGACAGTAGCTTAAAGGCACATGCCACTCTTCTGTGCACATACACTCAATCTAGATAAATGCCTGCTGAAATTTTATGTTTTATAAAAGGCATGTTTCTAATAAATCTCTTTAAGAGTTGTTTTCGATGACTGTGAAATCATAGTACTTAGGTATGTGTTTCTTTTTGTTTGAAATTTTCAGAAATGTGTAACAATTTAGAAAAGAGCAATTTGTTTATATTTAGGTGTTATAAAGTTTATACTGAATTGCCATATTTAATGTTTTTAAATATTTTTCTTTTGTAATTCAAACAAATTACTTAAAACTAGAATATTGACCAGGCAGCGTGGGAAGTGCCTATAATCCCAGCACCTGAGCTAGACAGAAAGGGTCAGGGGTTCAGGTTCATCCTTGGCTACATAGTGAGTTTGAGCTAATCTGGGCCACATGAGACCCTGTTTTAAAGAAAGGAAAAAAAAAAAACTGGGTGGTGGTGGCATACACCTTTAATCCCAGCACTCAGGAAGCAGAGACAGGCGGATCCCTGAGTTCAAGGCCAGCCTGGTCTACAGAGCGTGCTCCAGGACAGGCTCCAAAACTACAGAGGAATCCTGTCTCAAAAAACAAAAACAAAACAAACAACAAAAAAAAGAAAGAAAGAAAAAGAAAAGAAATTAGAATATTGTTAACATTCATCTTGAAATTTTAATGCCAGACTTTTATTATAAAAATTGAAGTAGGAAGGAAAACCTTGGAGAGTCATACACATTTGTTTTAAGATAGAAGTGCCCTGGGCAGATTGTGCCTTAGGGTTTCTATTGCTCTGAAGAGACACCATGATCACGGCAACTCTTATAAAGGAAAACATTTAATTGAGGTAGTGGCTTACAGTTTCAGAGGTTTTAGTTCATTATCATCATGATGGGGAGCATGGCTGTGTTCAGGGAGACATGATACTGGCTACATCTTAATCAGAAGGTGACAGGAAGTGAGCTGATTGTCATATTGAGTGAAGCTTGAGCAAAAGAGACCTCAAAACCTGCCCCACAGTGACTTCCTCCAACAAGACCACACCTCCTAGTAGTGCCCTTTGGGGGCCATTTTCTTTCAAACCTCTACACTAGGCTATTGGGAGAGACTGTCTATAACACCCCATGACATGCTGCAGTAGGACAGAGGCCTGTTGCCTCTGGCAGTATTAGGATGCTAAGTGTGTCTTTCTGGTTCAGGGTGGTAAATCTCGGGAAAAGGTGGTGAAGCTCTTGGCCTCTACAACTCCAGAAGAGGTATTGGAGAAACTGAAAAAGGAAGCTGAAAAAAAATAAAGGCAAGAAGTGGTAAGTACATCCTTGAGGAGTTTTAATAAAAATACAGATGTGGATAAGTAGTGTCCAAACTTAGGGAATGGAATACATATATAAACGTAAGATTAAAATAAAACTAGAAAATGTAAGTCTAAAATAAAAGCAGGCCAGGTTGGTGGTGGCACATGCCTTTACTCCCTGCACTCAGGAGGGCAGAGGCAGGCGGACCTCTGTGAGTTTGAGACCAGCCTGGTCTACAAGAACTAGTTCCAGGACAGCCTCCAAAGCCACAGAGAAACCCTGTCTCACCACCCCCCAGCCAAAAAAAAAAAATAAAAGCAGAAAATTTAAATTTATACATTAAATATAGGCTCTAAAATCCCTCACTGTGGCGGCTGAAGAGATGCCTCAGTAGTTAAGAGCACTTGCTGCTCTCTTCCAGGGGACCTGGGCTCAGCTCCCAGCACTTGTCAGAGGGCTAACACTGACACAGTTCCAGGGTGTCCTGACATTCTTTTCTGACCTCTGAGGGTGCTTGCAGACATGTGGTTCATGTATGTATATTCCAGGCACACACATACACATTAAATAAACAAACCTTTAAAACCCCTGAGCACAGCCTGAAATATGTTACTCTAATTTCATGGCATCACTGACTTGATCAGCTGAACAAGTCAGTCAGGACGACTGACCTTACCCTTTGCTGTCTACGATGGTGCCTCTGGTGTGCAGACCAGTTGAAGATCACAGCATACAAGATGACAAGAACCGGGCTGCCTTGCCTCCCAGTGGCGCCTTTAGCCTCTTACCGCCACGGTATTTCTGGATTCTGGGGCTTTCTACTTCAGTTTACAAGTGAGAAACATTCTATGCTGCTTTACAGTCCTACCTTCTATTTTAAGATATTTGTTTAAATGCAAATATGTTTTTATATCTTTTAAAACCTGTATGGAACATTTTGTGGAAAAGTAAACAATTGCAGACTTATAACATGATGTCAGTTATTTTTGAAGACCTTGTAAATCTTCAAATCTAGAAGTTCTTAGGACTCTCCAAAGATCTTAAAAGAATAAAGAAGTGGCTGGAATGATGCAGTTAAGAATGCTTACTGCTCTTGGAGAGGTCTTGAATTCAGTTCCCAGCAACCCAACGTGTGGTGCCTCATAATTGCCTGTAACGCCAGTTCCAAGGGATCCAATGCCTCTGATCTGAGGGCACCCACACCCATATGTGCATACATATATACAGAGAGACAGACACAAATTAGAAATAAGAGAATGAAGATTCCCTGGAAGTCCTTTCCATTGTAAAGCCCGTCAGGAGTCACATCTGTGAGCTGGGTAGTGTGTCCTGCTATGCATGGAGCCTTGGGTTGGATCCCCAGCACTGCACAAACACCTGTAATCCCAGCACTCTGGAGGTCAGAGAAGGGGGTGAGACGTTCAAGATGATCCTTTACATAATAGTTTCAGGTCAGCCTGAAATACATGAGCCTATGTATCTAGATCTGCATAGGCAATAGGTATATCTCTCTCAATAATACATGTTGTGTATGTATATATGTAGCTGAAAAGATAATACATTTTGTATATTTGACCTCTGTACTCTCAATTGTGTTCTTTGAGATAGGGTCTCACTGTGTAGAAGTTGGTGTGCAGCCCTAGGCACACATGTGCTGGATTATACACAGACATGCACAGTGCCCCCAGCCAAGTTACAGTCATTGAGTAAATTATATAATTACTTTGCTGATTTGTAGTGTGTACTTTGCCGGTGCAAATGTACATGAGGAAAAATGTACTGATAACATAATCTTTAAAACCAAGTCCACAAGGAATACCGACTGTAAAAATACTTGATGAAAAAGAACTAGAAATCCATTACCAGGAGCCATGGACAAGAGCAGTTGGGAAGCTTATCCAAAGCTCAGTGCTGTTTAGGGCACAACTGGTTCACACCAGCTGCCCTGTCTTGTAAGACCTCTACCACACTGCTTCTGAATACTTGTTTTGTGTGGTGTGGGCTGGAGAACTTTCCCACAGTTCCCCGGTGTACCACAGGCATTTCGCATGGCTAAACTACAGGAAGCTGTCTCATAGAACAGAAACACAGGTCAAGGGACTGTGTTAGCGTGTTCACCAAGTCCAGAGGTGTTTAAGGGTTTCACGGAGCAGTGATGTCACAAAGGTCCTCAGTGATGTCACAAAGGCTCTACTTCCTTTCTGCAAATGATGCCAGTGGATGCTAAGTCCCACTTCCTTCATTGAGGCAGAATGCCTGCTCAGGGTTTCACGTCTGATTGCTAACCCTCTGTAATAGAGGCTGCTATGGAGAGCTAGGTGTTTTCCAGAAGTTCAGCCCCTTCAACCTCAAGTCAAGCCAGATCACAGTCTAAACCACCCTCAAGGCACGAAATGACAACCGTAAGTAAGTAGCTAAACCAATGATTTTTAGGCCAATTAAGACCTACCCCAGAGCCAGAGATAGGACCAGCGCACTCTGAAACAAACAGGAGAGAGAAATGGAGACTAGAATAAACAATTATCAGCGGAGGCTGGGTAGGAAGCAGCAGTTTTTACTACAATAATTTTTTTTCCTGATGTGGGGCCTACCTATGTTGCCCAGTCTAATCTTAAACTGCTAGTCTCAAGTTCACCTACCTCAATCCCCTGAGTGCTAGGACTACAGATGTCTACCACCCACCAGCTGTTTCACTTTAAGTGAACATATTTTAACAAGGAGCCTTTGCCTATTATTTTTAAGAGAAGTTTAACAATGTTTTCTCCTTTTTTGAGACAGAATTTCTCTGGGTAGTCCCAGCTGTCCTAGAACTCACAGAGATCTGCCTGCCTTTGGCTCCCAAGTGCTGGAATTAAAAGTGTTCATCCCTATGCCAGACTCAATAATATTCTCTAACAAAAAAGATGTGTCACAGCCGAGAGTGTTGGCACAGGCCAATAATCCCACTTCGGAAAGGCTGAGGCAGGAGAATTGAAAGTTCAAGGCCAACCTGGGCTGTGTGACAAGCCAGGCTTGGGTTAAACAATGAGATCTTGCCTCTGGTGTGGGATGTCCTTCTGTATGCTACAAATATGTGTTGCTCTTACTGGTTGATGAAGAAAGCCATTTCAGCCAATGGACAGGCAGAATTTGGCCAGGTGGAAAATGTGAACAAGGACAGAGAGGTAATAGGCCGAGTCTAGGACACCATGTAGCCACTGGGGAGGTAGGATACCCGGGAATTCTCCAGTAAGAGAAGGCATGTGGAGATACACAGATTAATAATAATGGATTAATAATTAAAAGAGAGCTAGCCAGTGAGAAGCCTAAGCCATGGGCTAAATAATTGAAACAGATATTAAGTCTCAGGGTGGTTATTTCTTAAATGGCTGTGGGGCCTGGTGAGCGGAGAAAACCGGGACCAGTGGGACTGAAATAGATGGAGAAAAATTTCCTTTCTACATACCCCCAAATAAACAGGTAAAGAAAACAAACCACACATCACAGCGGCACCATCGGGAACTGGTCCAGGGGAACTGTATTCTTGATGGAGACGGTCCTTATTCCTCTGCAAATATGGTAGTCTTAAGCAATCTAACAGCTTCTGTCCACACTGATAGAAACCTGCCACAGGCTGGTTAGGCAGCTGTCTTCATTTGGGCCCAGGGCTGGATCTCACCTCAAGAATACTGAAGTGGAGGCAGGAAAAAGGACATATGATCTAGCATCTGTTAGCCTTTTTCAGGCAGTGCAATTCCAGCCTGATCCACACCTAATTAATTCTGAGTAACAAATTAATTCTACGGAGTGACCTGTTACACTGCTTTTCTTGTCGTCTGCCATCCTGGGGACCGTGGATTTGCCACAGCTGTAAATGAGGTCTGCGATAACTGAAGACTAGTGTCAGGGTGATGCTGTCCTACTGTAGACGACTAGTGTCATGGTGGTGATGCTGTCCTACTGTAGACTAGTGTCAGGGTGATGATGCTGTTCTACTATAGCCTAGTGTCAGGGTGATGCTGTCCTACTGTAGACTAGTGTCAGGGTGATGCTGTCCTACTGTAGACTAGTGTCAGGGTGATGCTGTCCTACTGTAGACTAGTGTCATGGTGGTGATGCTGTCCTACTGTAGACTAGTGTCAGGGTGATGCTGTCCTACTGTAGACTAGTGTCAGGGTGATGATGCTGTCCTACTGTAGACTAGTGTCAGGGTGATGATGCTGTCCTACTGTAGACTAGTGTCAGGGTGATGCTGTCCTACTGTAGACTAGTGTCAGGGTGATGATGTCCTACTGTAGACTAGTGTCAGGGTGATGATGTTGTCCTACTGTAGACAACTAGTGTCATGGTGGTGATGCTGTCCTACTGTAGACTAGTGTCAGGGTGATGCTGTCCTACTGTAGCCTAGTGTCATGGTGGTGATGCTGTCCTACTGTAGACTAGTGTCAGGGTGATGATGTCCTACTGTAGACTAGTGTCAGGGTGATGATGTTGTCCTACTGTAGACAACTAGTGTCATGGTGGTGATGCTGTCCTACTGTAGACTAGTGTCAGGGTGATGCTGTCCTACTGTAGACTAGTGTCAGGGTGATGCTGTCCTACTGTAGACTAGTGTCAGAGTGATGATGCTGTCCTACTGTAGACTAGTGTCAGGGTGATGCTGTCCTACTGTAGACTAGTGTCAGGGTGATGCTGTCCTACTGTAGCCTAGTGTCATGGTGGTGATGCTGTCCTACTGTAGACTAGTGTCAGGGTGAAGATGCTGTCCTACTGTAGACTAGTGTCAGGGTGATGCTGTCCTACTGTAGACTAGTGTCAGGGTGAAGATGCTGTCCTACTGTAGACTAGTGTCAGGGTGATGCTGTCCTACTGTAGACTAGTGTCAGGGTGATGCTGTCCTACTGTAGACTAGTGTCAGGGTGAAGATGCTGTCCTACTGTAGACTAGTGTCAGGGTGATGCTGTCCTACTGTAGCCTAGTGTCAGGGTGATGATGCTGTCCTACTGTAGACTAGTGTCAGGGTGATGATGTCCTACTGTAGACTAGTGTCAGGGTGATGCTGTCCTACTGTAGACTAGTGTCAGGGTGATGCTGTCCTACTGTAGACTAGTGTCATGGTGGTGATGCTGTCCTACTGTAGACTAGTGTCAGGGTGATGCTGTCCTACTGTAGACTAGTGTCAGGGTGATGCTGTCCTACTGTAGACTAGTGTCAGGGTGATGCTGTCCTACTGTAGACTAGTGTCAGGGTGATGCTGTCCTACTGTAGACTAGTGTCAGGGTGATGCTGTCCTACTGTAGACTAGTGTCAGGGTGATGCTGTCCTACTGTAGACTAGTGTCATGGTGGTGATGCTGTCCTACTGTAGACTAGTGTCAGGGTGATGCTGTCCTACTGTAGCCTAGTGTCATGGTGGTGATGCTGTCCTACTGTAGACTAGTGTCATGGTGGTGATGCTGTCATACTGTAGCCCTGCATCTGTCACCCCTCGCTTCCACCAGAAGAGAGAATCTCTCCGGCAAAACTGTTGTAATAACTCGAGTTCTCCCACCATACATTAGCAGAACTCGGGAAAGGAAAAAATGGTCTCTTTCTACTCAGGAGGCAGGGGTGGACTTTGGACTTCTGGTTTCTGGGGACCATCCCACAGCGTTCCTTTGACTAGAGGATAGAAATAACCAGGAAACCCAGGTGGGACCTTTACAATGTTTAAGGCCCAAAAAAACTGAAGTGAATTTAAGAGGGCTCTCTAGGCTGTGAACTACAGTGTTCTACCTCAAGTTTTCAAGGATTTGGTTAAAAAGTTCCTTAACTACGAGGCAGAATTTGTATATTTAGAATCTGCCATGACCCCAGATTCAAATTGTTTTAATATATGTGATTAGGAACTTAAAAACTCAGATTTTTTTAGTTTACATCCAAGAGGTGGCACTGTGGCGCCACAGTAGAAATCGACAATAATTTGGTGACAGTCAGTTTAGTGGCAGG